TTGTTTTGTTTTGTTTTGTTTTGTTTTGTTTTGTTTTGTTTTGTTTTAAACTGAGACAGAGTCTCTCATTGGCGTGGAGCTCACCAAGTATGCTAGGCTGACTAGCTGGGGTTCCCCAGGAATCTTCCTGTCTCCCCCTCCTCAGTGTTGGGATTATAAGCACATACTATCACGCACACCTTTTTAAAAATTGTGTGTTCTGGGGATCAAATTAAAGCCCTCATGATTACGTAGCAAGCACTCAACTGACTGATCTCTCTCCCGAGGCCCTCAAATGCAGTCGTTCTGAATCTGGGTGGTCTTAGATGTGCTTTGTGCCCCCAAAACCTAGGCTGGCCTTGATTATAGTATTTGGCATGTGAGTATCTTATTATAATTATTAGTTTACCTAGCTGCCTCTCCAGCCTACATCGTTGTAATTCACCTTTGTGTCTTTAACACAAAGCATAATATGTAACAATAGCTACTCCTTTGGCTAATAATTAGTCATTTATGGTACACTATTGGAAAGGTCAGTTAGCTGTGGGTACTTATCTCACGGCTAGCTGATTCATGCAGCTGTTAGGAGGTGCTGACTCCAATGGCTAGTCTTAACTCTAAATCTCTGCTTCTTCCTCTTCCAGGGGTTCAATGCTCCGCAGTTGGTCTACTGCCAACCCTCCCCCTCCATGAGCCTTGGTTCTGATGCAACCTTTGGTCATGCAGGGATGCCCTTACACCCTCCCACGATGTCATGAGTGGCATGCTGCTGACAGGTTTCATCACAGCAGCAGCCTCCGAAACACTTGTCCCCAGCCTCAGGTAAGTGTCCATTAGTAAAAGAAAAGCCTGTGTAAAAAGACTTCCTAAGGTGCAAGGAAACTCGTGTATATATGAAAACCTTTAGATAGCACCAAGCCTCCAACAACACGTCCCTATCAGCCATGAGGTAGTTAATGAGGGACATACAACAAAGAAAGATGTAGGGTTAGGCAGCCAAGGGCTCGTTATGTCTAATGAGGGCCAATCCCATCTTAACCTTCTGAGGGTTATAGGTCTGGGGAGGTCACAAAAGAATTTGATTCTTGAAGGCATGGCCTAGGCATGTGCTCACTCTCTCTCCTTCCTCTCAAATTCCTAGTCTTTCTTGGAGATCCTGGATTGTACCTGCCTCTCTCTTCTCCCCTAGGAGTATGGTGATGTGATGGTGGTGGTAGTAGTGGTGGAGTGTGTGTGTGTGTGTGTATGTGTCTCTGTGTGTGTGTGTCCTAGTCAGGGTTTCCATAAAACATCATGACCAAGAAGCAAGTTGGGGAGGAAATGGATTTATTCAGCTTACACTTCCACATTGATGTTCATGACCAAAGGAAGTCAGGACAGGAACTCACACAGGGCAGGAACTTGGAGGCAGGAGCTGATGCAGAGGCTATGGAGGATGTTGCTTACTGGCTTGCTTCCCTTGGCTTGCTCAGCTTGCTCTCTTATAGAACCCAGGACTATCAGCCCAGGAATGGCACCACCCACAATGGGCCCTCTCCCCTTGATCATTAATTATGAAAATGCCTTACAGATGGATCTCATGGAGGCATTTCCTCAAGGGAGGCTCCTTTCTCTGTGATAACTCCAGCTTGTGTCAAGTTGACACACAAAAAAGCCAGTACAGTGTGTGCATGTGTGTGTGTGTGTGTGTGTGTGTGTGTGTGTGTGTGTTGGTAGATAGGTGAGAGGTAGTAATCTTGAGAGAGAAAGAAACCACCTTTCCTGACAATGAGAAGGTCTAGAGGACACAGGCATTCTTTCGATTTTCCTACAATGCTTCTGGGTCTAGAGACTGTTGGCATAGAGAAGTGCTGTGTGTCCTAGAGAGTCACAGATGAACTGTAATGCTGAGTCATTTCTAGGGGCACAGACAGCAGGGAATCTATAGGGAGAAGAGAGGCACACAAGCAGTAGATAGAGAATACAAGTGTTATGGGAATCATGTGGGAGAAGCTAAATAAGGAAAAGTCAAGAGCCAGAGAAGAGTGAGGGTCAGATCTTTCTTAGCCTCTTCGTCATCGTCTTCTTCTTCTTCTCTTCCTCTTCTTCCTCCTCCTCTTCCTCCTTCTTCTTCTTTTGTATTTCACCAGAGAGAAATTGCAGCCTCTAATATATTCTCAAAGACAGGGACAATTTAGAATCTCTGGGTAATCTGCCTCTTCCTAGGAGCGTGGCTCTCACAGTGTCGTGATTGAGAGGCCTGAGTCTTTCCAAACGACTTCCTTTGCCCACTGCCTCCCCACACCCAACCAAGCTTCCCTGGATGGGCAGAATGCACAGGGTCTTCACTGTGTGCTTGTGAATGGCATGGCACAGTCCCTCTTCTGTTTTCATGTAGGTTTTATTCCTGTAGGATTACTGTCTCAAGGATCTGAGGTATGGATAGAGAGTTCTCCGGATGGAGCATGAGCAGCAAACATTTTAGCCACAAAAACCAGAAAAAGAAATCAACTGATGGGAAAGAAAACAATTACTCTTTATGATTTGCCTAGAAAAATATATGAGGGGAAGCACTGGAGAACAGGGCTCTAGAGAACAGTGTGGGAGCTGGATGGGGGTTAGGAAGAAGAAAGAGTGCTGGAGAAGATGAAAGGCGAACACCGATGGCGCCCAACTCATTGTGTGTTCTTCCTGAGAGCACAGCCAGGACAGCCTGGTCATGGCTGGGTCACAAAGCACTGTTTCCAACTCTGGGGCATTCCCCAGTCCAAAGGACTTTGTGACACTGGCTTTAACCCAATATTCCTAACACAAGTAATGCCTGTAGCTAGGATCCGCTCCCCACTCTTGGCTCGTCATCCCCTTACCATCCTCCAGCCACCCCAGTTGGCTCCACTCGGGCCTCTAGAAAGGGTCAGGCAGCTGTTGCAGCTATTCCTGTAGGCGGACCTCAGCATGGAAACAATGTGGAACTGTGGAAAGCCCTGAAGACTGTGGGAGATAAATACGGATAGCAACAGAATCCTTTTTGGTATAAACATGCTGTTTTCCAGAAGTGTTCACGGGTGGGGGCTGAGCTGAGGAATGCTACCCTTTTTTCAGACGAGTCTACTGAAGAGGGAACGTGGTGGTCATTTCCAGGAGAGGCTCTGCCTCAATCAGTGGCTTAATGGAAAGAGCTTCCATCCATTACGCCCAGTATAACGCGAGCCGGCACAGGAGTGTCTCCATCCCTGGCTCTATGCAAGGAGCTACTACATTTCATTGTCCTCTTGTCCTCATTATAGAGGCCTAAAGAGATGCCCTGGATCCTGTCACTCTGTCCTTAGGGTATAGAGGTCTACAGGTCATGGTTCTCTCTCTACCTCTCAAAGGCAGGGTGAAGCACTCCCTTGTTTTCACAGTGGCCTTCATTGAATCTTCTGGCCTCTGTACTCATGAACATAATCAAATGTAGAGGGGTTCTGCTACTCTAGCTTTGCAGTGCATCGTTCCATGACCCTGTCCCCAGGTGGGCCACACCTTCCTCCTTGCCTCCGGGGAGGCTCACTTAGTTGAGAGCAAGGCTTCCCAAGCTCATCTTCCATCAGGCTTTGTAAAAATTGCCTCCAAAAATTTATTTGCTGAAGTTGTCTTATCTTTTTGTCCACTTCAGAGCAGAGCTGGGCCTGGAGGCGGTGAGTACTTTGTGTCTTCCATAGAAAGGGAAAGTTAGTCAACAGGAGCTGCCCTCTCCACACCCCTCCTCAGCACCATAGAATGCCCAGTCCCACTCCTGCTGTCCTTGCCAGCCTGGGAGCTAGCTGGAATTCCCAGCAACAAAGCTCTGATTCACTGGGTAGCCTCCGACATGGCCGCCCCCTCCAGATTCCTGGGGGGTCAGTAAACAAACAGGGTGACAGCCCCTGCCTCCTGGCCTGGCTCAGCTTTGCCTGTCTCCCAGAGCGAGCTTGTTCAGAGCTCCTCCAGATTCTGCTGTCCGTCCGCACTCACCAGACGCAGGGTCCAGATTCCTGCTGAGGGAAAACCATGGACCGTCCTGATCCTGCCATGGACTCCTCAGGCAGCACAGGTAGGGTTAGCACACAGGCTGCAAGGAGGGGCTGAATTCTAAGATTGTCCCCCAGAACTTGGCAGACCCCTCCCTTTCCTTTCACGTTGTGATCATGAGCTGCAGTTTTACTGGGATGGTTGGTGTCCTAATTGCCTGGAGACTCTTGTAAGAAGCATGATCTTAAGATGAAGAGGAGAATTGAGGAGTCCCAGCCACTAGAAGGGCCTACTAGGTAGGCAAGCACCAAGTAGACCTGTGGCCAGGCATGGAAGTCACCTTGGATAGGGTGGATCAGCTCAGAAAGATTTCTTCCTCCAATTCCCCTTTCTCCACCCTCTACTGCTCCCTGGCTGGGTATTCCCAGTTCATGATGGGTGATTTGATCAACTAGGCCCTAGACCCAATAGTACTCTTACTGGGCCTTACCAGTGCCCAGCACAGCAACAGTAGAGAATGAGGCTGAGAACCCAAGCTACATTTTAGCAAGCTTCAAGATTGGACCCATTGACTGCCGACATTGGTCAGGGTATTTTTAGTGCAAAATCCAGAATGTTCCTTTAGCTCTTTCTTGGTCCATGTTCACCTTCATGACCGTTAGGAAGATTTCTGGGCTTCCTGACTGAGGTTTGAAGTGTCAGTTAAAACTGGAGGAGGGGGTGACCTCAAAGGCCTAGATACATTTAGAAAGTAGGGTACAGGGAACTGGCCACTTCCTTTGGCTTATCTGTTGCTTCTCTGAATCTTTGTGGGGCAGCCCCGCAGCTGTATTTTCGAAAGCTTGGGTAAAGTGTGAGCCCCTGTGGATTGAGCCTGTAGTTCAGGTTGGACGCTGTGATGGTTCATGTTTGAGCAAATCCCACCTGGCTTCTTACTGGATGCAGGAACCCATCTGCACAGTCATCCTGACAAACTGTCTAACAGGAGGTAAATAACAATAACAGTACTCTGCACATCTGCGTCTCACGCCTGTCCCAAGAGAACACCCATCCGTGCAGCTCACTCCCTTGAATACACACCTGCTCAAAACACGATGGGATTTCAGGACCCTAGGACCAGGCTTTCTCTCATCTCCTTCAATTATGTCCCACGCTTAGCTCGCATAGAACAGAGCATGGGAAACTCCAGGAACCACAGAATATTTGTGTTTCTGTGCAGGTTAGAGCTGCAGTCACCATCCCTGCATCACCTTGGGATGGTGCTGGGGATCCCTGCCTAAGTCCAAAGCTCTTGAACGGGTCTGTTGGAGCCATTGGCCCCCTGGAACCATCAGCCATGAATCTGTGTTGGAATGAAATAAAAAAGAAGTCTCACAACCTCCGGTAAGGACTAACCCCTAGAAAACAGTTGCTTTAGGAACTGGCTGGGACAGTACTGGGCTCCTTCGGTTGTTGCAGCTTGTGTGCCCCCTCCCCGCCAGCTTCACTCTCTACCTCTTTCCATCTTTCTGTGGCACTGAGAGGAAGAAACCTGGGTTAGAAGTCAGTCTGTTTCTCTTTTAACCTGTTTAGGTGTCTCATCTTGGGTAAGTTGCTTGAGTTCTCAGAATTTTAGCTTTCACTTGGTTTCATTTTCTTTTGAGATTTCAGTGCAGCCTAGCTTGGAACTCTCTGTAGAGTGCAGGCTGGCCTTGAACCTTGGAATCACCTTTCTTTTGCCTCTTTGGTGCTAGGCTTATAGACGAGCACTACCATGCCTGGCTTTGTTTGTTTGATTTTTTTAAGAAAAAAAAGTAAGTGGAGGAATAAATGATATGTGTCCTCCCTACCTCCCAGTATTGCATTGTACATTCATATAACATGTGAAAATGCGTTCTAAACCTAAATGTGTTGATATGTAGATAAAAATGAAGTGATCTCGTCCCTTCTTCTCCACTCACAACTGCCTTGGAGAGGTTCATCTGTATACTCTCATCCCCTTATTAGATTTTATACTATTTATTTATTTATTTATTTATTTATTTAGAGATAGGGTCTTATGTATCCCAGACTGCCTTTAAAGTCACCAGGTAGCCGAGGGCCTAGAACTTCTGCTCCCCCAGTTTCTACATCCCAAGTAGTCAGATTACAGGCATAAAGCACCACGTTAAGTTTCTATGGCATAGGAATCAAGCTGCATGCATGCTAAGCAAGTACCCAACCAACTGAGCTGCATCTCCAGCCCACTCGCGTCTTTTTTATGTCCTCCCCTCCCATCTGTGGATCAGCAGCTTGGGTAGGTACAACATAGTAAGAGAATTTCTTTTTTTTTTTTTTTTAATTTATTTATTTATTATATATGAATACACTGTAGCTGTCTTCAGACACACCAGAAGAGGGCATCAGATCTCATTACAGATGGTTGTGAGCCACCATGTGGTTGCTGGGATTTGAACTCAGGACCTCTGGAAGAGCAGTCAGTGCTCTTAACCACTGAGCCATCTCTCCAGCCCAGTAAGAGAATTTCTACCTGTTGTTTTCTTTCTGCCTTTCTGTGTGTGCCTCATTCTTTTAAAATCTCCATTTCCTACCATCAAAACCCAAACCCACAGCTTCTGTCGGGGATTCGGGGCGGGGGGTGGGGAGGAGGATGATGAAGTGAGGCAGTGAAGAAAAACAGAGAGAAAGCAGGTTGTAGAGTCAGATAACTCAGATTTCAAATCATAGACCCGCGTCAGTCCCTTACATCTATGGTTATGAGCATCCTTGGATGATAGTCAGGTACACCCCATAAGATCAGTGTAAGAATTAGTTGACACAGTGATTAGAAAAAGGTTTTTCCCCCAGGTACAGGGAAGCAGTAGACAAAGATAGTTGTTAGTGCTAACTAACAGGAATGGGCTTAGCAGCGGCACCAAGCCATGTTTGACCAGCCTCCAGCTTCCTACTGTTATACCTTAGCTCATAGTTTATTTGGGAATTGGGAGCAAACAGACATATGATTATAGAACACAAATTATTTCTTCTGTATTCCCAAACTGTAGCTGATGCTTCTGTCATCGTTTGAGTCCCTTTGGGCTGCTGAGATTTGTGTCCATCCTTGCTGGTGTTCATGGCTGTATTCAACCATCCACCCTCCCTTTCCACCAAGTGCATTTTCTAGTGCACAGGGCATCCTGTGTGGCTGAGTAAATTGAAGTGATTTGGATTCTGCCTGGACAAGAAGGGAGCCAGATGGCTGTCACCCCTAATGCACTTGTTCAATTTCTTACCCTTCATGGCCTGATGCTAGGCATGCAGCTGAAGCGACTAAGATCCACAAAGTGATGTTTTAAACCATTTCAATATAGAATAGCTCCCAACCACTGTTTATAATACTGCACTCCATGCAGTGGGACCTCGGGAACATACATCAGGAGACACAAGAAGGAAGGGCCCCTGGGTCTCCCAACACTTGAGCTAGAGCAGTTCCTTTGAATCAAAGCTTTCTATGAGTATGAAATGTTAGGAGCCGGGCGGTGGTGCCGCACGCCTTTAATCCCAGCACTTGGGAGGCAGAGGCAGGCGGATTTCTGAGTTCGAGGCCAGCCTGGTCTACAGAGTGAATTCCAGGACAGCCAGGGCTACACAGAGAAACCCTGTCTCAAAAAACCAAAAAAAAAAAAAAGAAATGTTAGGAAAAATAGATTTTGCTACTTAAAACGATGATCAAATCACTGGTCTTACTGTTACATGCAGCGCTCGCCTAGAAGCCTTCTCAGACCACAGTGGAAAACTTCAGCTCCCGCTCCAAGAGATTATTGACTGGCTCAGCCAAAAGGATGAGGAATTGTCAGCTCAGCTGCCCTTGCAAGGGGATGTGGCCCTGGTACAACAGGAGAAGGAGACACATGCAGTAAGTTAGACTCCTAGAAGTGTGGTATGGAGCCTTTCAGCAGGAAATACCCTTTCACAATACCCTGACAGACAGGCCCTCAGTTCTGCTCAGACACCTAAAGCAATAGATGATGGTATGCAGTTGTAGTCAGAGGGTTGGACTCCACAGAGTGTGTCAAGGCTTGTCCTTTGATTTGAAGCTGCTTTGATTTATAAGGAGAGCATGGACAAATGGATGTAATATGATGTTGAAAATGCAAAATATAAAGCTGGATTTCAGTTACATGAAATGTATATAGATGTGTGCATATATACAGTGATGCCACAGGAGGGAAATCCAACAAAACATTAACAGTGTTTAACTCTAGGTGAGAAAACTGGAATTCTCTTTAATTTTGTGCTTTACAGTTTTCTGAACTTTGAAATATGTCCATGACATTATCTCTAAAATCAGAAAATGACTACTATATCTAGGATTTTGATTGGGTTTCTGTGGGTTTGTTTTGCTTTTGAGACAAGCTTTTACTGCATAGATGTGGTTGGCCTCAAACCTCCCATATAGTTCAGGCTGGCCTCGAGCTAATTGTAGAACCCTAGCTGTCTCACACTGAGTCTTCTGAAAAGCTAAGCTCTACTCCACATTTTTTCTCCTCCGTTGCATAGCTAGACTCATGGCACACTAAATAGACATTCTAGCATTGGAGTTATTTTCTGCCTATAAGGAAGACTGAATTTATTTTCTGGGTAAGCCTGAGACACCTAATAAGGCCACGGGATCAAGCTACCTTGAAAAGAAAGGTTATTGATTGTGAAATAAAATTGAAGTGATTGAAAAGCTTGCTAACTTTCACAGGCCTTCATGGAAGAAGTCAAGTCTAAAGGCCCCTATATCTACTCTGTGCTGGAATCTGCTCAGGCTTTCCTGTCCCAGCACCCATTTGAGGAATTAGAGGAGTGTCATTCTGAGAGCAAAGGTAGGTGGCCTTCCTATCCGCCTCCACTTCCTTTCGAGCTGTAGGTGCTATTGAACAAACACCATTGTGCCTTCCACGGAATCCTTGTCTCAGTTGTAACTCAGGAAGGCAGTTTGCTCCAGTCAGACCAAAGTCAGACAGGGGCACAGTCACACAATTGTAAGGAAAAGGAAAAAACCTGAAGCAGGGTTCACCGGCATGTGGCCCGAAGCTGTATGTGGCTCCTCAGAGTGTCATGTGTGGCCTTGTCATGGAGTATGAAAGAAAGAGAGAGAGAAAGAGAGAAAGAAAGACAAAGAGAGAGAGAGAGAGAGAGAGAGAGAGAGAGAGAGAGAGAGAGAGAGAGAGGAACACACACACAAAGACACTGGGGCAGAGACTGAAGAGAAGAAAGACACAAGTGAATTAAAGCACCTCAAGAAATGAGAGCAGTGTGTCCTTTTGGATTGGCGTTTGTCACCTGAGTGATGACCCAGGGCTGTATACTTACTACCCATGTGATTTGCACCCTTCTTTTCATATTTGTATGTGAAGATACTAGTGAGTACGGGTAGCATAAATTGAAAACCTTAGAAAATAATCTGTTTTATTCCAATATGGAGGGACATTGGCAATACTAGTAACAGCCAGCAACTAAAATTAATTAATTAATTAACTAATTAATTAATTAAAAAAGTAAATAAATAAATGTAAAACCTAAGAAGTTGGGTAGTGACCTTTGAGATGAAAATTGATTGTGGCTTGTCAACTCTGATCCTGGTGACACCTGGGCCTGACTTCATAGGGAAGGCCACTTTCTGTTTAGATGCCAATAAACTGCCAGTGTGGCATCCAGGGAAGTTAAGTCTAAGAGGTGGTCTAGGAACCCCTTCTAGAAAGAATCCTCAGCCCTGACACAGGAAGTAAATAGACTAGAAAGAAGCCATCGTCAGTGGAGTCCTTTGTAGATTCCATTCACAGTCTCGGTTTATTTTTGATCTCTCTGTAGGCCAGGTAGTTCATAAATTGCTGCTCAATGGGCCCAGAATAAGGCAAGCTCCAGAGGGAGCAAGGCAATTCCATGTAGCTTGGGACTATAGACTCTGATTCCTCTCTCAACAGGTAGTCTGAGGGACAAAGAGGAAACCTAAAAATGACGAGTAGAAAAGCTGAGACTATTATACCAGACTCCTGAGCTGGGGCTTCCTAAAAAAACATCCTTTCTTTGGATTTTAGCAAACACTAGTGCCTAAGTCATTTCCTAGTGGTATATGAATAGGACTAGATGACTGACTTTCGCTACACTTAAGATACCTTATTCACTGTTTACCTTACCGTTTCACAGTGAGAAAACTTTAACGTAAAAGTGGGGGAACTAAAATGGTCTTATGTAGCAGTAGATTTGTGACCTAACACAGGATAAAATTGCATGAAACTAAAGACGTATGTATGCACAAGCACAGAAATGAATAGAGGTAAAACTAGGGAACTCTGAACAAAATTGACAGATTACCTCAATGCCAAAATCCTGCTTGGGATATGACACTATCAGTTTATAAGACATTACCACTTTAGGAAAGGGTGCAGGAAATATTGATATTATTACTTATATTGAAAAGCTAATCTACAATAATCTTAAGATGCATGGTTTTTAGAAAATTTCTGAATGAGGTACCAGTGGTGGCTTAGCTGGGAAAGGTGCTTGCCTCAGACCCTGATATGAATTAAATCCCTGGGAGTCACCTTGTAGAAAGAAAAGGCCAACTCCAGCACACTGTCTTTGGACTTACACACAAACACTGTGGAACACACACACGCACACACACACACACACACAGTATGTACGTATAAATATATAAATAAATGTAATCGAATTTTAAATCTCTGAATGTGTAAAAGGAGCACAACCATGGGAATATATATGTAAAGTATGAATTTATGCATACAACAAACACACACCAGTGTCCCCAAATCCACATTTACAGGCAAGCATGTACATTTTATAAGGGGATGGGTTTGCCTTGGTCTTTCTCTGTTACCTCTGCTGAGTTAGCTTGACTTGTCTTCCTGGTTGTCATCAGATACCTCCCCTAGACAGCGTATTCAAAACCTTAGTCGCTTTGTGTGGAAGCAGGCAACAGTGGCCAGTGAACTGTGGGAGAAACTGACAGCCCGCTGTGTGGATCAGCATCGCCACATTGAGCATACTCTGGAACATCTGTTGGAGATCCAAGGGGCAATGGAGGAATTAAGCAGTACTTTGACCCAAGCAGAGGGAGTCCGAGCCACGTGGGAGCCCATAGGGGATCTCTTTATTGATTCCCTCCCAGAGCATATCCAAGCCATCAAGGTATGTAGGGACCCTTCCCTGACTGAGACCTGATGTCCTTTCCCAGTGCCAGTGTTCTTTCTGCTGAGACTTAATTGCTGGTCTGGGCCTCAGCTGAACATCTTTTAGTTATGGGTTGGATTGGGGGCTGGTTTGCCTGTAGCCTTCTCTGTCCTACTGTTTTCTCTTCATATGCTTTTCTGAAATGAATAGAAGAAAATGATAAGACCAGTGACTGCTCATGTCTTAGTTTATTGCACAAATGGCCAAGTGGCTAGGTGTTGTTGAGACTAATCCTCTACATGGAAAGGGGAGAGTTCAGGTGACTGACTAACATGTCCTTTTCCCAACTCTGTCTGCTGTGGCACTTGGGTTCTGGTTTTCTAGTTATTCAAAGAAGAATTCTCTCCTGTGAAAGATGGGGTGAAGTTAGTGAATGATCTGGCCCACCAGCTTGCCATCTCAGATGTACACTTGTCAATGGAGAATTCAAGGGCTCTGGAACAGATCAACATCCGCTGGAAACAGCTCCAGGTAGAGGAGCATGCTGAAATGAGCTTTGGGGAGGCATCTTGGTATGGCCACGCTTGTGGGGCAGGGTGGAAGGGGAGAATATGCAGGCCCAAAGAATATCAATGGTTTAGGAATGAAAGCTACACAGGAAAAGAATGGTAGAGGGTTAGGGGTCAGAGAGTAAGCTTCTCAACTTCTAAGCTGCAGGTAGTGGCTAAACTACAAGAATGAGAGGGGCTTGTCTAGATTTAAGCACACTGATTAGACTGGAGAGAAGAATTACTATGGCTTGGAAATAAGAAGGCTTTTCTCTGATCCTTCTTGGTGCTAGAGAAGAGTGAGAGTTGGGTGACCATAGATGATATCGGAACAGGAGAAAGGCCACCTTGTGAGAGAGCTCTTTGGAAGCAACTGCAAATTTCACAATAAGTAATAGAAGTAATCCACTGTTCTTTCCATAGGTGGCAGTTGCTGAGAGGCTTAAGCAGCTCCAGGATGCCCACCGGGACTTTGGGCCTGGGTCACAGCACTTCCTCTCCAGTATGTGAATCAAACTAGGATGCATGAAGCAGAACCTCGGCCATTTTCCAAGAAAATGTACTATTGTCTGCTAGGGGTCCATTGGGAGCCCAGTATGTCTTGGCATCCAAGAAGCAATAAGAAAAAAGCTGTGTGGTGTGGTGGTTAGAACAGCAGCCTCCCCAGACAGAGTGCTGGCTCAGATTAACTGTGCCTCAGCCTAAGAGCTATGCAAATTTGAAAAACTGGTGTACCCTTTTGAACCTCACCTTTCCCATCTGAATGGGAGGGATTTCTAGCTCTTTAGGTTTTAAAAATTAAATAAGCATATTTGTGCAACACTATTACTTATGAGCTAGGTACTTTTCTGGGCACTGGGGCCATGCTGGTGGGGAAAATAAATCCTTAGATTTGGAAAGGTCATATTCTAGTGGAGGAAACAGATCATAATCAAATAAGTAGACATGAGTAAGAGAAATGTGTGACAAGTGCTATGAAAAATATTAAAGCAAAGAAGGCATGCCTAAAGGGAGGGGACTAGACTTAAAGGAAAGAGACACTGCAGAGGTCTCACTGAGAGGGTGACAGTTTTATAGAGTCCTAAATGCAATGTGAGAATGGACCATGTGTGGCTAGTGGGAAGAGATACTGCAAAGCTCTCGTTGAGAAGGTGGCAGTTTACAGAGCTCTAAAGGCAATGGAAGAAGGACCACATGGCTAGCTGAGTGAGCACACTAGGTAGAAATTCTAGCCCTTAAAGCAGGGGCCTGAGGACGTGTGCTGAGGAACAGCGAGGAGACCTATAGAGAAAAAAAGCAACAGAAAGAGTGGAGATGTTAGAGCACAGAAGGTCTTGTGGGTAAAAGTAAGAACTCAAAATTTTACTCCAAACACAACAGAGAATTTTTTGATAGGGTTTGAAGAGTGGGGTGATGTCATATCAACATGATGTTCAGAATAGATTGTTGGGAGCCAGAGTGGGAACAGAGAGACCCCTCAGAATTTACTGAACCATAATCCATATGTGAATGGGTGATGCTGGCCTAGACCAAGGTGGTAGGAGTGGAGATGTCAAATTAAGAAATTTAATTTAAGAATGGCTAGGACGCATGAAGAACTAGTACTAGTGGCCAGCTTTCTTTCTCTTCTTTTTTAACAGCTTCTGTCCAAGTTCCCTGGGAACGAGCAATTTCTCCCAATAAGGTCCCCTACTACATCAAGTGAGTGATCATCAGAATCAGAAGCTGGTCAGTTACCTGCCTAGCCCCTTCATCTCCTGTCTTGTGCTACCTAACTCTGTCACTTCTTGTGCACTGAGATTCCCCTGATTAGTCTAATGCTTCCTCCAACGTGTAAAAAGTGCTAAGGTTCTGTCTGGGTGATGGTGAACTCTGGTGTATCAGGATCTTAAGAGTTTATCTTTGCATTGTGCAGTGTCTTGCAACCCGCCTTTCACTAACTGATGGTTGTGTGTGTGTGCGCAAAGGATGTTGGGAATGTGATATTGGTGCTATTGATGCTTTTGTTTATAGCCACCAGGCTCAGACCACATGCTGGGACCATCCCAAGATGACTGAGTTATACCAAACCCTAGGTGAGAATGCAAGGTTCCTATATGGAGCGGGAATCTGTACCATTGTCTTTGTTGTGTACTTCATCAGTGTATGAATGAATAAAGAACATGTACCATATGCACAAAATGGAATTATACTCTTTAGTCTTAAAACAATACCATTTAGACAATATAGATAAACCCAAAGATTGTTATGCTAACTGAAATAAGAGATGCAGTATTCACAGGCCTCCATTTCAATTGTGCAACAAGAATAGGGCCTAGAGATCTGCTATATGACATAGCATGTATACTTAATAGTACTGTTTTTATGTGTCAAGTTTTACTAAGAGAATGATTTTATATTAAGTGTTCTTACCCGCAACATACCACTACTAATAGTAATAGTAATAAAAAATAAGAAGTTGGGAAGACATTGTGGAAGCAGTAGATAGGTTTATGATACAGGTTGTGGTAATGTATACTTATCGCCAAACTTTTTTTTGGGGGGGGGGCTTTTCGAGACGGTTTCTCTGTGTAGCCCTGGCTGTCCTGGAACTCACTCTATAGACCAGGATAGCCTCAAACTCAGAAATCTGCCTGCCTCTGCCTCCCAAGTGCTGAGATTAAAGGCATGCACCACCACTGCCTGGCACTTATCACCAAACTTATCAAGCTATATACACTAAATACTGGCCTCCTAACTATCACTTCACATATGGCTTCTTGGATGTCCATTGGTCTTCAATAAGGTGGCTTTTAAAAGGGTAAAACATCCCCTCTGCATCTTCCTCAACAGCATATTCTCCATTTCCCCCTGGACCACTTTAACGGCATTAGGGAGCTCTGCTTGAAGGCACGAAGTCTAATCTGATTTGAAAGGCAGTCTCTGAGCTGCAGTGGGGGAGACTCTTTCATGCCTCATCTTTGCCTACTAGGAAAAATACAGCATATGTCACAAGTTTGTCCATATGAGTACACTTAGAACACTTCCACTGCTGTAGGGGATACCATTGAATGGAGCCTTTCTTTACCTATTCTGTTGCTAATAGGCTCATGGGTCTCTAGTTTAGAGTAACTATGTGCAACACTGCTGAGGAGCTCTTGTACATGTGTGCGAAAGGTTTTCCAGGGTTTTAGTTTGTAGGTCATAATATTATTTCAGCATGCCATAACAATCTTCTTCAAAAGCTGAAAGAGACTTGGAGCTATCAATGGATACTTAGCAAGGGTCAGGTTTGCTATTAATTTTATGTTTTTATTTGTGTTAAATCTAGTAAAGAATTGCTTTCTGAAAAGTGTATATATTGTATCATGGGACAAAATCCATTTCTTACTTTGTAAAAAAATGTCTGCCCATCACTGCAGTGGACTATATAGCAGCTTGATGGCGGGATGGATATGTTCCACTTCGTTGCACAATACCAAGTTGTTTCCCTGTGTGGTCGCATCAGTGCACACTCCCACTAGCAACCCTCGTTCATACATATCCTTGTCGGCACTTGTTCTACTTCACAGTGCTCTGATCTAAATGAGTCTCTTTCATTTTTTTTTTTTTTTTTGCAGCTGATCTGAACAACATTAAGTTCTCAGCTTACCGCACTGCCATGAAGCTCCGCAGAGTCCAGAAGGCCCTGCGCCGTATGTCTCTGTCTTCAGTTGTTCTTTCCCATGGCTTTCACCCCCTTCCTCCTATTCCCCACCTGTCTGTTTCTTCCCATTTGCATCCCTGGCCAGAACTATTGATTGTTTTGATGAGAACACTATAAATGCTGGGGCATCTTGGCTGAGAAAAACTTGATATTGCCATTCACCCCAAGCCCCAGACTTGTTTTCAAAGTAACTCTACAGCTATCCAAATTGTCGGGTTTTTTTTTTTTTTCCTAGCCAGCTTAGGTAATCTAGAAACTTTGCTTTGCAGCAGGCAGTATCTGTTTCATGGTCTGCCATCTTGGGCTTATTAGATACAGCAACAGAACTGTTAAAGCAAGCTTCCGTGGTTAGTCATCGGCATGTGGCAGACATGTTATTGTCCCTTCTGGCCTTGCTTGGGCGTACTGTTCATTTAATCTTTCTGTCCCCGGGCTCTAGCTAGGTTGACTCAACATCACAGGTAATGATGTGTTCCTGATGTATGTCACATTCACCCAGTCATGCACCATCCTTGGTGACCGGGACTAAGCTTCGTAGAACAGGGCTCATGAACAAATCTGTTTTCAATCGAAATTGCTATGGGGCTGAGGGTTTGGCTTGGTGATAGACTGCCTAGTATGAGCAAAGCCCGGGGATCAGCCCTCTGTATCTCCAAAATTATTTTAAAAAGATGAAACCTTTGCAAGCAGAGAAACTTCAAATGAGATGTGAGTCCCCGGGAGTCAATACAGTTCAGGAGGTATGCTCATTCACATCTCACTGTTCTCTCAGAACGGGTGTGAAAGAACCTATGTGTACGGAGTTGTGCTTCATTAACATGGGCAACCTTTGATGCCTTGCTCTTCCATAGGATGGGAGTCATGGTAGAGGACAAGCTTATGGCAGACTTGAAAATAGTTGGTCTGGACTTAATACCAGATATGATGATACTGTAGCCTTGCCTCATCAGATCTCTTTGAACTCCATCTTCCTTTTCTTCTCTCCTTTCCAGTGGATCTGGTAACTTTAACTACAGCTCTGGAGATCTTCAATGAGCACGACTTGCAGGCCAGTGAACATGTAATGGATGTGGTGGAGGTCATTCACTGCTTGACTGCCTTGTATGAACGACTGGAGGAGGAAAGAGGCATCCTGGTCAATGTGCCACTGTGTGTAGACATGAGCCTCAACTGGCTCCTCAATGTTTTTGATAGGTAAACGCTTTCATTCCTGGAAACCTTCCCGGCTAATCCAATGGCATCTCCATCGGTCATGGTGGGAAGAGCTTGCTCCCATGATGGACTTGGATCAGGACAGCTTAGAGCATGGTTGGCCTGTGCACTGTTGGTGTCAAAGCAGTAAGGAAAGACTGCCAAGATGTTGACCTTTCACATATATTCCTGTCTTCTATCTCTAAACCTAGTGGTCGCAGTGGAAAGATGCGAGCATTGTCCTTTAAGACTGGTATCGCATGCCTGTGTGGCACCGAAGTGAAAGAAAAACTTCAGTGTGAGTACAGCTCTTTGCATCTGCAGTGATGGTGAGTGGGGGAGGGGTGTTGCAAGGGGAGAAAGGAGGGAGACCATAGGAGAAGCAGAGTTTCAATCTTGTGACTCATCAGAAGGTTACTTGGCCACCTCATGCTGTTTTTCAGTTCCCAGGTACATTTTCTGGGACTTAGGTGAGGTTTGAAGCAATGGCTTTTATGTCGAGGGGTTTACTAAAGTTGCTGGCCTGGCCTTGAGGAGGTTCTAGAAGAGCTGCCCTCTCTTGAGGGTGGAGAAAGCTGCCCAATGTTTCCACACCAAGGAAGCACATGCTTTCCCAGTCCTGTAGCATCTGTGTCTGTAGCATCCGTGTCTGGTGCTACCCTTACCTAGCTCTGTCTGCTTGCTCTCTGTGCTTTCTCTCTCCCCTTCTCTGATCTTCTCTGATCTGATCTTCTCTGATCTGATCTCCTCTCCCTCTCCCTCTCCCTCTCCTTCTCCCTCTCCCTCTCCCTCTCTCTCTCTCTCTCTCTCCCTCCCTCTCTCTCCCTCCCTCTCTCTCTTTCCTCTCTTTCTCTCTTCCCTCCCCCTCTCTGTCTTTTTCTAGCCTCTGCCTCCTGATTGATATCCATTTTTTTCTTTCTCCTGTGCTCCTGTATCTGTTTCTTTATCATTCCCTCCTCTGTTCTCTCCCTCCCTGCCCTTTTCCCCTCCCTTCCTTTCTCATTGATGATGTCCCCTTTGTGTCTGTCTCATTCCCCCACCCAAACTCAGGAATGCTTCTTTTTGAACCCTTGGGAGTTGAGACAGGGGATGAGTTTCTAGATTTTCCACTTTCAACTTATCAGTTCAACAGTGCAGTAGGCTCTTTTCTCTGTCATCCTTTTCTGCTTCTTCCTCCACGTACCACTCTCTGGTCATTCCTAAATTGGGTCTGGCTATTGCTGATGATGGGCCCAGCAGATCTCTTCAGCCAAGTGGCCAATTCAGGCAGCCAGTGTGACCAACGCCATCTCGGTGCCCTGCTTCATGAAGCCATTCAAGTGCCCCGTCAGCTGGGTGAAGTGGCAGCATTTGGGGGCAGCAATGTGGAGCCCAGTGTCCGTAGTTGCTTTCGCTTTGTAAGTATAGAGCTGTACCTTCAAAGAGGGAGGGAAGTAAGACGGAAGGGATGGTGAGTGGGTGCAAGGTACTCAGGTATGGGAGCTTTTTTGAGATGGGACAATAGAACTAACAGTTCTCAGGAATATAGAGCTGGAGTCCTGCAGGGAAGGATACTGATTCCCCTGCTTCACTGGATGCTGGCTGGCACTCAAGCAGCAAGATATTCGGCCTTCTATTCATTGGATTTCTTATTTCTCTAGAGCACTGGCAAGCCAGTCATTGAAGCGTCCCAATTCCTGGAGTGGGTCAACTTGGAGCCCCAGTCTATGGTGTGGCTGGCTGTTCTGCATCGGGTCACCATCGCTGAGCAAGTGAAGCATCAGACCAAGTGCTCTATCTGTAGACAGTGCCCCATCAAAGGGTTCAGGTATGGGATACAGTACCTTCTGGGATAATAAAGATGTCATAGGACACAAAAATTGGGTACAGAATAGCATTGTGTAATTATTTTGCTTTATGATTTATCTATGGTGTGTTATTGTAACCTTTTTATTGAAAATGTTTAACTTCTAGAAATTAGAAAGATAATATTTTTGTTCTAGTTGTAATACAAAGTACTACGTGTTCTTAAAAATAGATAGTAAATGTTATAAAAAATAATCTATATACTAAATGTTATATCAGCATATATAATTCACCATCAACTCCCCAGAAAGAAAGAAAAGAAAAACTGATTTATATCATATGTGCTATAAATACTGCCCTCCCCGCCACCCCCACAGCTGACTAGTAGGCTACACACAAGAGATCCCACTGCAGAGTTAGAAAGAGAGACACAGGCATGCAGTGTTATAGCATTGTCACCATGCAGCTCACATATCCCTAACCTAAAAACCCAAGGGGCTCGAGAAGTGGCTCTGTGGTTAAGAGCACTGGCTGCCCTTCCAAAGGTCACCCATAGGGTGGCTCACAACTATCTAGAATGGGATCCAATGCCCTCTGCTGTTGTGCAGATATCCATACAGACAGAGCACCCATATGCATAAAATACACAAATGAATCTTTTAAAAATCTGAGATCAGATCAGGCCCATGCTCTATCAGGGATTTTGAGATTACCAGATGCTCAGCCAGCAAACCCTGAGCAAACATAGCCAACATTTCACACAAAGGAGGTCCAATCAGTCTCACAGATGTAAATAGCCTCAGAGGCATGAGCAACCTGCAGCTATGCAGCCGAGAATGGCTATGAATGCCGCCTAACAAAAAATCAACTTACATAACACATGAGGGTTTTTTTGTAAGTCAAAACTGCATATTCCTCTCCACTATAAACCTCATAGATGAGAGTATGTCACAGTTTCAACTGACTGCGGCACACTGTGCATACCCAGGGCCAAGCTTAAGGGACAAAGCATGATTGGAATTCATTTGAAGCCGCTTGGATTCTAATCCACTCCTTCCTCCCCAAAGCTAATGCTCTCATAAAATGCCCAAAGTTTGTGAGTATGCTTCCAAGGATCGAATCTGGGGTCTTGGGCATGCTAGGCAAACACTGAGTCCCAACCTCAATGCAGTCAACCTTTTAGCTTTTTAGAGTACTAAAGAGTACATATAACTGTCCCTACAAACACTCTGCTTTTTATAACTTGAGTAAACTACACACCAAGGTGAAGTGTGATTGCCCAACATAACCTGGCTATTTAGCTGTAAACCCAGGGATTACCTAAGTCTAGGCATTTCACCCTTTGATGCTACCAGGACTAGGGAAGTTGAGCTTGCCTTTAAGAGGAGATGGGGAGGATTGTTCTATATTTTGTAATAATATGGATACAGTTATTATGAAGAACCTTTAAAACTAACCTTCAGTCAACTTAACCACAGCTAGTGAATAAATTGCCTTCATATAGGAAGTATGACTTCTCCAGAGTAGGGAGGGGACTTTTGGGACCATCCTTGTAAAGCTACCCACAGTGAGATGTTTATTCCTACCTGCTCCCCCCCTTAAGACCTGGCTGACACAATGCCCTTTTCCACACTCCCTGGGACCTGGGGCCTGTGGTTTAATGCAGGATTTGTGGTCTGTAGAATAAGGCTATTCACCTGTTGAGGTTAAGCCACACTCCCTTATCTGTGTATATTTGGGTTGGGAAAATGGTGAGGTCACTTGGTACACTGGATTATCTTCATGACCATATCTTCTCTCCCCTAAGGTACCGGAGTCTGAAACAGTTTAACGTGGATATCTGCCAGACCTGCTTCTTGACAGGCAGGGCCAGCAAAGGCAACAAGCTGCACTATCCCATCATGGAGTATTACACACCGGTATGAAGCTCCCACGCCAGGTGGGAGGGGCAGGCATCTCTCAGACAGTAGGCTTTGATCCTCTTTGCACAGCATTGGCACACAGGAGTCAGCTCTCCTGATGGAGCATTACCCAAACAATAAGGGTTCACTGGTTTGGGGTTTCAGGCCCCTCTATTCTTCCATCACAGCTTTTCTGACACTGGGGCCATTGTTGCCTAGAGTGCTCTGTGCCCTAGTCCTTTAATTGACATTAACTGTTTTGCTGCAGAAAAACATCCCCAGGTCGGTGGTGGGGGTAGGAGAGCGAGATGGTTCCAGGTACCTCCCTTTCTCTTGCTCATGTGAGTTTTCCTGGCTCATTTCGTGTATAGCTCCTATACTGAATCCAGGTCTCTTTCCTCTACTTTGTCTTTTTTTTTCTACCCCTTCTTCCCAGAACTAGAGTCTGTGTTCAAGATACACAGTCCATTAGAAGGAGAGACATACAATTTTAACCTTTGCTCACAAATTGTATTTGGTTTCCCTGTGGGCAGCCTTCCCCTCAAAGCTGCCTGAGCCCATCTTGGACAGTGTCTCTGATCTCAGCCAAGGGCTGCTACATTTGTAGTGTCCTGAGCTTCTCCCCTCAATATCTTTCAAGATTTATCCATTTTGTATTTTATGCATCTGGGTGTTTTGGCTGCATGTATATCTGTGGACCACTTGTATGCCTGGTTCCCAAAGAGACCAGAAGGGAGTGTCAAGTCCCTTGGAATTGGAGTGACAAATAGTTGTGGGAAGCCTTGTGGGTGCTGAGAATTGAACCAGAGTCCTCTGAACCATCAGAGCTTTTAACTGCTGAGCCATCTTTCCTACCCCTCCCTTCCTCAATATGTTTATACTTTTCCGTTCCCTTTGATTCTTACAAAACCCCTAGTATACTCCAACTGGCTTTCCTCTCTCCCCACCTCTCCATTTTCAACCTGTTTCTCCACAATCCACTTTTCTAAGGTATTGTATTCAAGTTATGTTAGCACAGGGATGTGTGAACCAGCGTAAGGGCCATGTCCGTTACTTTTCCTTTATTATCATTTACACAAACATTATAAAGGGCAAACAGAAGAAACTAGCTGAAAGATAGAAGCCAATAATCCTCTGCCTCCTGTTTATCTTCCCCGTTCCTAGAATTTATAGAAAATGGGCAGCAGGACGGCTTAGTGGGTAAAGTGTGCCAAGCTTCACAACTGCAGTTTAATTTCCAGAACACACATGAGTTGTCCTCTGACCTCCACTGTGTATTGTAGTGGGTACATATGCACACACACACAAAGCAAATAAAATTTTAAATTTTATAAAAAGAAATTCATAAAAATGTTTTATATGATAATTTTATTTTTGAGAACTTCATATGAGCACCAATCTACACACTCCTGTCCCCTCCAACTTTTGCTGTGTGTCCTTCTCACATAATCTCTTCTTTAATTATTGTTACTTGTATATACATGTGTACATACATATGTGTGTGTATATACATATATGTATGTATATGTATGTATATACATATATATGTATGTATACACACACACACACACACACCTGTTTCTCCACAATCCACTTGGGCTGGAGAAATGGCCCTACAGTTAAGAGCACTTCTGTTCCAATTCAGGTTTAATTCCCAGCACCCACAAAGCTGCCTACGACTGTTTGTCACTCCAGTTCCAAGGGACAGATATACATGCAGGCAAAGCACCCGGATGCATAAAATATAAAATGAATAACTCATAAAAATATATACATATCTACATACATATATGCATGCACACATATCTACATACATATATGCATGCACACATATCTACATACATATATGCATGTACACATATCTACATACATATATGCATGCACACATGCTACAACCTACTGAGTCCGTTTAGCTTTGCTACTATGTACATGTGTCCAAAGCTGACCACTTGGGATTGGATAACCTGAATGGGGGCTTGTCCCTGGAGAAGGATGGTTCTTTCTCCTCAGCAGGCATTGACCCCTTGCAGCTTGTCCTCTAGGGGTGGGACTATGGCATTTCCCTGTCTGTGTTGGCATGTCAGCTGGTATTGTCTTAATGGATCCTATTTCAGAGATCCACAACTAGTCCAAATGTAGATAATAAGGGACCGTGAGGTATCTGATTCCCATGATTCCACAGAAAAGGAGGTGGGAAGATTGTAAGAGCCAGAAGAACCCATGAGCTTTCAACAATATGATCATGTGAACAATCTCAGTGTAACACCAAGAAAGATACATTAGAAAGTAGCAATTACATGCTCTCTGAAAAGATTCAAACTATGCAGACAGGAGTGTTCGAAGTTTAAAATGAAAGTCTTCCTTTCGCCTCACCCCTTCAGTCTACTTCCCAGAGGCAACCAGTGTTGAGAGCTTAGGGTGTATTCTTTGGGGCATTTTTTTTAATTGGAAGGGTATGGGAGGCACAGACAGCAGCAGGATACCAGACACACTCTGTGCTCTAGTGGAAGAGTTCCAACATCTCGTGGTATCTGGAAGTCACTAGCGTGGCTGTCTCTGTCCTGTCTCCCTGCAGACCACATCCAGTGAAAATATGAGGGACTTTGCCACAACCTTAAAGAATAAATTCCGATCCAAGCAATATTTCAGCAAACACCCTCAGCGAGGTTACCTGCCTGTGCAGTCAGTACTGGAGAGCGACTGCAGTGAGACGTAAGTAGCTGAGCAGAGGCTCCGGGTGACCTCATCCACCTCACGTATGTGCTGGGAAGGGACTGAGTCACAGACGACCTGGACAAGGTTCCCAGGTGAAAACCACCAGCGACAGGGTGGATCAGCTTAAGTCTGACCTAGATTCTGGCCTAAGCAATAGAGTAGCATCCACTCTTTGTATCTTGTTAGCATCCAGGCAGGGAGTGGGGTGCGAAGACAGGGCTTTCAGTTGCCTTTGGTCCTCTGAACCTTTGCTGCTTTCTTCCAGACCTGCTTCTTCCCCGATGTTGCCACATGCTGACACACACTCTCGAATTGAGCATTTTGCCAGCAGGTACCACTGCCTTTCAGTGGGAGTGGGGACTATATGAAGTCCAAGGAGAGGTGGGTGGGAAGTCCAAGGACGGGGAGAATTAGAATGAGCAGGGGAGTCGTGGAGTGGAATGTACCATGGCCAGCAAGGCCCAACCCTTAGTGGTGGTAAGTGGGGGGCAGCTCCCTAAGCCAATGATCCTATTGTGCCATTGGAGCGCTGGGGATGGAAGCAGCGATCCTGCATGCTCTCCTATTGTGCCTCTGTCTTTCTAGGCTTGCCGAGATGGAAAGTCAAAATTGTTCCTTTTTTAATGACAGCCTGTCCCCGGATGACAGCATGTGAGTTTCCACAGCTGCTAATTTTCCAGAAATAGCTGTCCTTGGGATCCTTCTGCCACTGTTTGGTGGCATTTGGTAATGGCATCTCATCAAGAGAATGGGAGGCTAGTGGTTAGGGTCCTTGATCCCCTGAGGAGGGAAGGCTGCTTCCTGACTACAGTGTTTAGGAAGAGAAGCAATTTCTCATCTGTCAACTGAGCCATCTTCTAAGGCCCCTTCATATCACATGATACCATCCTTCCATGCCCAACTTTGAAGAAAGAGAAAATAAAAAGCTCCTATCTAAAGCTGTAGAAAGGAGCCATTATCCTGTGCTCAAGATACAAAACCCCATTAATGCTACAGAAACCCTAAGAGAAAACAGAGATGTGACTAAAGTATGGCCTAAGGGAGGTCTGATGCCATAGGACAGAGAGGGAGTCCTTGCATCTCTGAGAGAGGTTCCTTGCCTGTAAAGAAGGCCTAGGAACTGCTGACATGGGAAAGTCTGGTCCTGTCTGGGACCAGATCCTTCTGGAAGGTGAGAAAGGAAAGACACATAAAAGGGGAAACAGCATGGAAAGGAAGGTGATTTTCTCATTATACTTAAGAAGACCCCAGAAACCTCAACATCCTGGAAATATCTGTCAATCCTCTCTCAGTCACTGTCTCTTTCAACATCCCAAAGCCTGAACTTGACACCTGGCTTTCTTTATGTGACTTCAAAGTGAATGAGCCAGCATTCATTTCCTGGGGTCTGAGCTAGGATCCATGACTTGTTTCTGTGTTCAACACCTGGTCACCTCCTTTCCTAAACCCATGCAGAGATGAGGACCAGTACCTGTTGCGACACTCCAGCCCCATCACAGACCGAGAGCCAGCCTTTGGACAGCAGGCTCCGTGCAGCATGGCGACAGAAAGCAAGGGGGAACTAGAGAAGATCCTGGCCCATTTAGAGGATGAGAACCGGTAGGTATGGTCATGGCATAAATTTGTGTGAGTACCAGAGGCTGGCAGCTTGAGCTTCAACCTTGACTTCATGAACCATGTAACCTGGATCAAGTCACTTCCATCTTAGGATCTTCCATTTCTCAGCTGTTTGATAGGGATAATAATGATGCCAACTCGCCAGGCTTACTTTGAAGACAAAATGAGATCAAGCATAGAATGTGCCAGTCCTTATAGTAAGGATTAATGAATGTCGATTCTTCTTATAAATGTTTGAGCCCTTGTAATATAACCCTGATTCTCTGACTGCCCACTAGATACAGGTAGAGAGAACACTAGAAGAATGCAGATAAGAATATAACCTGTCCTTGCTCTCAAAAAACTTTCTGTACTAAAACTAGAAAGAACTGCTTGCTACTGAGTAAAATTATCCCAGGGGGTTGTAACCCTACATACATTTCCGAAGCAGAAGAGATGAAGTGCTACAGATGGCATTAATCTCCACAGAAGTAGAGGTGGCTGCATAGGCTTGACAGGAGTTGAAGGCTCTCAGAGGGAAGGAAGACCATCTGCAGAGCCTCTTAGGGCAGTGGACTTCAAGCATGAGTGTGCACAGGAGTCAATGGCAAAGCTTGGAAAAATGCAAGTCCTCACCTGACTCCTGGGTGTGGAGGGCCTGAGTTTCTATTTCTAACCGGCTGTCAGGGATATTAGTATCACTGGACCCCACACCACCCTCAGAGTGGCAAGTCTTAGAACAGTGTTCCTCAGGTGGGGGAGTCCAAGTGAGGACTAGTTTGCAGAGTGTGAGTCACCAGTCCTGGAAAGATAAATGCACAAACATACAGTAAGCTTTTAGAAACTTTCCCAGCGGACTTGACACTGTCAGGATAACGCACACAATTAGTGTAAACCATCACAATGAATAGGAGAGAGGTCAAATTGAGCGTTGTTAAACTTGTAAGGCAGGGCACAGCAGTGATGTGAACTATGGACTAGTTGTGAACATTAGGACCAGCTATCGTTATACAATGGAATGAACTATGATCAAAGCCCTGGTTTCTCCAGGGAACGTCAGAGAACTGCTACCTTGAAGCAGTAGAGAGCAGGCTCTGGGAAATGCTAGGAAGAGCAGGATTCTCTTTGCCTAAACAACAGAAAGTGATAATGCCTAAATTTAGAGTGTCTCCTTGATGACCCACTATGAACATTCAAAGCAGGTCAAATTGGAGGGCTATAGAGAGAGGCGGCAGGATAGGTGATCTCTTTACTCATGCTATGTCTTCACTGAGAATCTAAAAATCTATAAGTGGAGTAACAGGTAAGCCACTGGCACTAATGCCTCTTTTATTTGCAGAACATGTTCTTACCTGCTTTTGAAGGTCAAAATTAATCCCCAAAGCATCAAAGCCCTAAGACATTTCTTATGTGAAATGTCAGTTCACTGCTCTGAGGCTTCAGGATGGCAGTGTAAATGTCAAGCAGGGTGGAGAGGAAGTGGCTGTGGCCGTTTCAAGCAGAGCATCTCCAGGGGTTGGGTTGGGAGATCACAGAGACCCCCCCACACACACACACACATGAGAGATAGGAGACCCATGGAATCTGGATAGCTAGTTGGCCCTGCTAAAGCCTTAGATCTTGGCATCTATGTCCATGGCAGGATTCTCCAGGGAGAGCTGAGGCGCCTGAAATGGCAGCATGAAGAAGCAGCCGAGGCACCTACCCTGGCTGAGGGGTCCGCTGAAGCAACCCCAGACCACCGCAATGAAGAGCTTCTGGCTGAAGCCAGGATCCTGCGGCAGCACAAGAGTCGGCTGGAGACACGCATGCAGATCCTTGAAGACCACAACAAGCAGTTAGAGTCTCAACTGCAACGCCTGAGGGAGCTGCTCCTGCAGGTGAGGCTGGAGTTAAAGAACCAGGTAGCTTCCTGATTCAGGAAGATGGTTCAGAGAGCTGGGTTTGGAGCAGAGAGAGGAGAAAGTGTCACTTAGCTGTGGCAGTCAGGTGACTTCTTGAGAAGAGCTGACTAGCAGTTGGGATGAAGGCATGAAGAAGGAAGTGGGCAATCCCTAACCAGTCCTCTTCCCATTCACTTCCATACCACCTCTGTGTGTCACTCTCCAGCTACCTAAGGATCTTTAAGGAGGCTGTATTTCACAGCCCATTGGAATCTGGTATTAAAAGAACAAACTTCAAAAACCATCTGAAGAGGGACTCAGTTAGTGTAACACCAAGCATGAGGACCTGAGTTGCATCTGCAGAGACCATGTTTTGTGTTTTGGTTTTTTTTTTGTTTGTTTGTTTGTTTGTTTTAAAAAAAACGGATGTGGTGACAGACACTTGGAATTTCCATGCTCAGGACATGGAGTTCTGGGGATTTCTGGCCAGCCTAGACTACTTGGTGAATTCCAGGCCCATGAAAGACTCTCTCAAAACAAAGAAATGATCCCGGAAAAGAAAGGTGGACGACACCTGAGGACTGACACCCAAGGTGGTTCTCCAGCCTCCACGCAGATGCCCGTACATGTACACGCAAATGCACACAAACGTACGCACATCCGTGCACACGTAGACACCAACCCATAGTCCAAAATACGGCATTTTCAGATTTGGACAAGAGAAATATTTTTACAATAAAGGGCTCTTTTGTTGCAATTTTCTCTTTTTTGTCTCTGGGAGGTCAGACAGCCTGGGCTTATATATAGTGGAGGCTCGGGAAGTTACCAGCTTTAATTTATTTTTAAAAAACAAGACAAAACAGTGGCCATGGAGAGATGTCTCAGAAGTTAAAAATGCTCGTCCAGAGGACCAGAGTTCAGTTGCCCAGCACCATGTAGGTCAGCTCACAACCATGAGTAACTCCAGGGGTAGAATCTGGCACCTTCTTCTGGTCTCCAGAGGTACACACACATGTGACATACATGCACAGATACACACATAGAAATAAAATCTGTTTTTAAAGGGGGCTAGCAAGGTAGCTCAGCTGGTTAAGTACTTCCGACACAGGCTTGACAACCTGTGTTCAATCTCTTGCATCCATATAAAAGTGGGACGAGAACCAAGTCCATGAAGTTGTCTTGTGACCTCCACATATGCTCTATAGCATAAATGCATCTGCACATGCCACACACATACACACAGCAATAATAATAAGCAAACATTTAAAAACTAATAGTACCAACACCATAGGATCGTAACCATCCTAAAAATCAAGTAATGTGTGTGCAGAATTCACCAGGATACCAGGAATATAGCACACTAATCATATATGTTGTCTGGCATTGTCATCCTATGCAACAGACAGTGGCCTCCTTCTCTATATTGTTCAAGGAACAGCCTTTTTCCTTTCTTAACTGATTTTTAAGTTCACATTCAAAATGCTATCAATTTTCATCCTGGCCTCTGCACATTTGTATCGCCGTGCTTTGTCCTCCTCTATTGTCCTCCCCATTGCCACTCCTCTCTGACTCCCCTTCCCCTCCAGTTAGTTCCTTTCCTTCTTTCCCAGTCAGCCCCTCATTTTGCTCTCTCTCTCTCTCTTTTTTCTTTCTTTTTTTTGTTTTTTTTTTTTGTTTTTTTTGGTTTTTCGAGACAGGGTTTCTCTGTGTACTCCTGGCTGTCCTGGAACTCACTCTGTAGACCAGGCTAGCCTCGAACTCTCGAACTCAGAAATCCGCCTGCCTCTGCCTCCCAAGTGTTGGGATTAAAGGCGTGCGCCACCACCGCCTGGCTTCATTTTGCTCTCTTATGGCATGTGTGTCATTGGCCTCTTTAGTTCCAGGGACAATCTTTAATGAATTCCTGGAGTTTTCTAGCAGATGCTATGTCATGAACTGAGGATCAGGTGTACAATGATGAAACTCCAGAAAAAAAAATGACATCTAAATAGCCTAATTATAGTTGAAATGAAGGCAAAAGACCCTTGGGTACCGTGCCATTCTTATAAGAACCAAGAGCCTTTGACTGGTGTTGTTAAAAGAATTTAATTGGTAATTGAACTATCTAAGAGGTTTTTATAAAGAGGGAAGGCACAGTTTCTGGCACCATGAAAAGCTTCTTAAAGACCCAGGGCAAAAAGGTGCCCACGGAGTCTCTAAGGTTCCTTTTTAAGCTCACGGGTCTAAGAATGGGATCATGAAGGCAAATCCACTTAAATCACATCTTACTTCTTGCTAGCCACCCACAGAATCAGATGGCAATGGCTCTGCTGGCTCATCCCTAGCTTCCTCTCCACGCCAGTCAGAAAGCAGTCATCCCCGGGAGAAGGGACAGACGACTCCAGACACTGAGGTTGCAGGTAAGTTCCCCCATGTAACCTGCTTCCTCCAGCAATTTGTCCTTCCCAAAGTTTTACTAGAGTTTGGACAAGGGTTGTGTATAGTTGATTTGTTGACTGTTTCTCTCATATGCTTCTTCTAAACATGCCTAGTGAGTGCCTCTTCCATACTAGTCATTTGAACGGGAGGGTGCGAGCACTCTGAACCCACTATTCAACTAATAGCAGCCTACCTCAGCCTCTTGCCTTCCTTCTTATAAAGGAAATCTCAAAATATCTTTCCAAATCTCTCTTTTCTAACTTAGATGATGTTGGGTCAAAGAGTCAGGATGTCAGCCTATGCTTAGAAGACATCATGGAGAAGCTCCGCCATGCCTTTCCCAGTGTGCGAAGCTCTGATGTGACTGCAAACACTCTGCTGGCCTCTTGATGGAGTCAGATCCCCATCCTGTAGTTCATAGCCCTTTCCTGATTCTTGTCAATGCTTTCCTTTAACCTTTGCCCAACCTTTCCAGTACCCACTGGCCCCACGTTCCTCAGCCGGAGAGCTATTTGGGCCTGGGGCAGCAGCAGAGATCTAATGGTATGTGAGATGTAGTGGGGAAAGAGAGAAGGAGAGGTGTGTGTTTCCTCTGACTTTAGAAATGTACCCATTAATCCTTAAGATTGAGCCTGTCCCTTGTGTTATTCTGCTGTTGCAGCCCTGACAAAGGCACTTATCACCCAGATAAGGAGCAGAAAGTTACCTTACAGAGTTAAACAGTGTCCACTGGTCCTTTGCTTCTTCATGGAATCATAGAAGGGGAAGCCTACTGGCCCCAAGGCATTATTCATCTGCATTGTTGATCCCCAAAGGGTGATTAGTGCTCTGACAAATGGGTATTCCTGAGACACTCCTCTGAAGTGCCCCCTTGGGAAATCTGGGCAGATTATGTCCTGTTACTTCAGCTCCAGAGCATAGTTCTCACCTTGAGGGTCTAGCTACATGGTTTTTTTTCCCCTCAAATACCTTTAATTCATCTTGACTCAGTACCTACCAGAGCTTCTCTGATGAAGGAACCATTCACTGTAGACGTGTTTCTACCCTATGTTTGGAAACATTAAAGAAATACCTGTTTCTTTAAATCCCCTCATGCTCCTGTTTCCCAATGGCCTTGGCATCCCGAGACTCATTGAGATGCTCTGGAAACCCATCTGAAGACACTGGTTTTCTGAGTCTGTCCTCACTGATCCACTGGCAGGAGTGGCAGCTTCTCCATCAAAGACCTCTCTCTCTCTCTCTCTCTCTCTCTCTCTCTCTCTCTCTCTCCCTCCCTCCCTCTTTTTGTTCTGTGTGGGAAAGGAAAAGAAACCCTCTATCCTAGAGGAGTATGGGCCTGACACTCTCCATGACATAACCATTTGATACCATAGGTTAGACTGGGTGAGATGGCTGATTGCCCCCAGATATTCACTGGAAAGTTCCAGATGACCAGCCTGAATAGTGGTCTCTGCTTAAAACCTACTAGACTTGAATCAGAAAACTGGCCACATTCCACCCAAGGTGGAATAGCAGTAAGGTCTTCCTGTGCATAAAACTGTTGCTAACACTGAAAGGTGAACCCAGTCCTCAGAATGAACTAACTTTTCCTAGGCTGAATATACTCTGACTCCTCTGTCCAGCAACTGTTGAAAATAGAGTGTGGGTGTGGGAAGAGTGGGTTGGGGAACTTGGAGCAGAGGCAGAGCCCATTTAGACTACTTTCTACCAAGGAAAGCCTTCACCCCAGAGCCTTGCAATGGACTAAGTTTTGAGTTTATATATACACATCTATTCTACATATCTACTGTACATCAGTGCTCTCCCAGCCTTACTCACATATTAAATTCTAATAGTTCTTAAAGAATTAATGTCCTGCCTTGCTCTTTGTTAGCCTCAGTCTCTAGCGGGAAGATAAAGGAAGGCATCCTGGCTGTGCCCTTAGGATGTTTTTCTCTACACTGATATTTGAGGTAAATTGACCTTTAGACTAATCCAAGGAAAGTCAGTGGCCACAGAGTAATCTTAACGGGAAGAGGAATTCTGTTCTCTTCCTTAATTTCAAACTTTGTTCCACTGAGACTTGGACCTTGGGTAAAATTTTCTTACCACCTTTAAACAATGACTCAGGAACAAAAGTAGAGCACATCCAAACTCTACCCACTCTACAGAAAGGAAGGACAAAAGGCATATGTTAGTTTTTGCCAGACTAAGACACAGAATTCATCCTATGGTCCCTGTTAGGTCCTAAGGTCTGAATCATGGTCGTGCAGAATGCAGTGGTTGTCACCACAGTCAGGAAAGTGTGAGATGTTTAGAGTTCTGTATTACAAAGCAAGCCACAGCAAACACATGCAACTGCTAGGAACCTAGATGGATCTGTTCTAGGGAGGTGGAGCAGTAGCTTGGCTCCAGAAGCCTAGATTGCATTCTCCCCAACCTTGCCACAGATTGATTCAAGGGTCAAATGTCATGCCTGGAGGTCTCTTGGAAGAACTGGGTATCTGCTTATATTGTGAGCACTGGGTAGGCAAGCATCAAACACAGAACCAGCTCATACATCAGAATGAGGAATCTTTGTAGGAGCCTAGGTTGTGGACAGAATTCAGATCAATTTGTTGTGGAACAGGGGACTCAGAAACGATAAAGTATGTGCCTCCCTATGCCTTAGGAGCACAGATATTATGAAACAATCTAAGAGACTTTGGTAAAGCCACTACTGGAGCTCTTAGGCCACCTAGGGTCTGTGACAATATTATTGGACTGGACTTGGTAGAAAAGATGTTGATCTTGTTATGTAGGATTTGTGCTGGATGTAGACCGAAGCAGCAGATCAAGGTTGAAGTCTCACTAAAGGAGTCACTGGCACTTTACCATCTTGTGTTTACCTGCAATGCCCCAGGCGAGTATATTACTCGGGGACCCAGTAGTAGTCACTGCTCCATATGTAGGCAAGTTGCCTGCAGTGACGAAAATGGCTCCTTGGACAATGTGAATTCACACTGGGTTGAATTTAGCAAAGTGTGTTCTTTGTTATTGGGTACGTTGTGTGTTGAAGCTCCTAAAGGAGTTGTGTGTGATATATAACCCTAGAGTTGAAGGCAATGAAGGAGTTGCTGGATTAGTAGTCTAAGGAAACCCTTCTGACTTATGAGATAGCATCAGTGAGGTAGAATGTGTTTACTGGATTTGTTATCAAATAGTGTAGGCAATTTATTCTGGACAGAATTTGATAGAGGGTAGCTGTGCTTTCGGCTCAAGCAGAGTGGCTTCTCATTGATTGGCAATTTTTAGAGAACTGACTGCCTAGAAGACATAAGGCTGTGGTATGTAGTTCCACAGAGAGTTTTCCACCCAGGAGGACATGTGCTCTTCTCTTCAGAATGCAAGGGTGAGAATCAAGGTTCTCAATGTTTCTCACAAGGCCCAGACTCAGGCAGCACTTCACTATGAAGAAACTTGATTGAGATTTCAGGTGTTTTAGGAACTGGTCTGGCAGGCCACAGTAGTGAAAAACAAACTAAGGGGCAAGGCAGAGGCAAAGCCTGGGAGATCTTTTACCACCAGATTAATTTTAAGGACTACCATTCCTTTCTGGGGTTTGTGTTATTAAAGGGTTTGGGGGTTCAGTCCCCAGCTTCAGGCTAGAGCATTCATTTGAATTGACATTTTCAGTGGCAGAGTTGTGGCCTCTGGGACTATTATCTGTTATTAGTTCCATCCAATTTCCCTTGGTACTCTGACAAATAACCAACAAAGTTAGGAAAGTCCTGGGAGAGAACCTAGAGGCATTGCCCTAAAGGCTGTGGAAGTTTAGTTCCTCAGCTGGGTAGCCCAACCTGTAGGCCTCCCTGCAAAGACCTGGGACTTGGAACAAAGAAAAACTTGAGCAATTCCTCACTGTTTTAACACTTGTGACTGTGGGAGAGGGGAAAGCTCAAGGCCAGGGCTCCTCTCCCAGCATCCTTCTCCTTTAGCTGCCATTTTTGGAAGGAGACCTGGTGAATGCCCTTGCTGTTCCCAAGGCAGTATTAAAGGCAGACTGAAGTCTGCTATGCTGCTTGCTGGCTGCAAGAACGGATCACAAGGATAAAAATTAGGGGATCGGGGAAGTGTCAAGGGTGGCATGCAAATGTATAAAAGTTTGGGATGAAGTTAGCTAGGAGCAAGTGGGTTAACTTCAATTGCCACTCACTGTGGTGCTTTTCCCATTTTATCCTTGAATTCTGCTTTGAAGAATAAATTTGTATTTGTTTACTTTGGTTCCTCTGGTTATTTTCTCTGATCATGACATTGGGCCCTCTTTCAATATTTTGGGGTGGACAGAAAAAAGCAACGATCAAGAAGCCACAGGAATACTGCCAAACAGTTAAGCTCTGTCCTTTACTCTGAGATTGTGGAGATGTGTGTGTGTGTGTGTGTGTGTGTGTGTGTGTGTATGATTTCTTGCTAAAGTAAAGCTCTGTTAGTCCTTCATCTGCACCAATTTTTCTTCCTTGCCAGTCTATAACAATACTGTCCAGTAAAATGTATCCAATAGTTAAAAACTTTAAAGCATGTCAAAGAAGTTAAAGTAAATTGGGGAAATTACATTTAATATTTTAGCCCACCCAACAAATACTATCCTTCGAGCTATTCATTTTGATTAATATTATTATTAATTTAAACACTTATTGGGAATATTTTTACATGTTTTTCCTAAGTCTTTGGAATTGTCAAAAATGTCAGCTCGTGATAAGACAAGATACCCAGATCTAATACAGTTACTTACAGAAACACAACAATAATGGAATAGTGCTATAAGCTCCCTGGGTCCTTTTGTCTCAAAAGGATGATGCTGAAATTAAAGGGATCAGATGACACATGTAAGGTGGTGGACCCCCTGTTGCTAAGTTGCCAATGCTATATTGTAGCTGAGCAGGCCTGTGGCCTATAGCTGGACCTCAGAAGCAGAAAGCCCTCCACCCTGTAAGAATGAGGAAGGCAAATGAGACACTGCATCACGATAGCCTCCATAGATAGGAAGGTGAGTAAATAGTCTTGTAGTCTCCACCAAGATCTGAGTCAGCTGCCACTGAGCTTTACCTTCATGGCCTATGCTGACAGTATACGATTTCAGGGTACCAAACACCAAGCACTTCTATAGAAATCGAGTATATAATGTTTATTTACAGACACGTCATGGATAGCTATATATTAGAATAGATAGCAGATAACCCTATTAGAGACCACAATACTATAATGTCAAATAATTAGCAAGTTGTGGCAAAGAAAAACTTCATAAGGTGTCAGTGTGTATACACATCTTAATATATGTATGCTCAGCCAGGTGGTGGTGGCAGCAGCGCATGCCTTTAATCCCAGCACTTGGGAGGCAGAGGCAGGCAGATTTCTGAGTTTGAGGCCAGCCTGGTCTACAGAGTGAGTTCCAGGACAGCCAGGGCTACACAGAGAAACCCTGTCTCAAAAAACAAAAAAATAAAAAAATATATGTATACTCATGTTAAGGCTTGGAGAGTCATGGCAGCAAACACTTTGTGATGAAAAAAGTGGTAAAGCAGTCTCCATGGGTGACACTGAGAAGTGTCACTAGAGAGAACAGAAGGGCACTCAAGATATACAAGCTTATCTTTATCCGTTTGTGTTGTCCGACCTCTTTCCCTGCTTCTCAGCAGAGTTCTGGCTGCTCTCAAGCTACAATATTGGACAGAGACTCTTATGTGTCACTCCAGAATGCCACCTGTGGCACATGTGCCATCCTTACTGCCTCAGCGGTCTAGCAGTGTGATTTAGATGTTTCTGTCCCAGTCCTCCACTTTGGCTGACCTGGAAGGTTCATCTCCATTTCAAACTCAGCCTCTTGGCCTATTCCCACACAGAATTTCTTTTCCCCATTATCCTTCTCCTTCATGTTTTTCAGTTCTAGGTTTCTAGAAAACAGTTTTGTATCATTTTTCCATTTAAGATTTTCTTACACTTCTGTCCTAATATTAGCATAACTTTTTTTTGGACATGCTTATGTCCTTTGGTTCTACTTTCCATGAATTGCTGTTAGCATTCTGGCCATCTTTGACCCACTTTCCCAGGCTCCACCTATATACACTGATTTACTCTTCTCTCCTCATTGCTTGTTTTTATTTGGGATATAGCACTAACCTTTCTTAGAGCAATAATCACTTTTTCAATTGGAACCAGACTGGGCTCTAGCTGGTAACTAGATGGATGCTCAAAGAGGTGACCTACCTACAAGACAAATGGTAGTGCTGCAACTGCAACCATGTATTCATTTCTACTACATAAATATTGAATTCAAACACTGGAACTGCTAGTTTGTATTCCTCTTTATCCTTTTGCTCTCCCAATATTACAGAGTTATGATGTGATGGTTTGCTTCCTTCAAAAGGACATAGGCTGTTTTGTAACCCAAAGACTCTTTTAATAGACTCTCTACTATTGATGGCATCTTGTGTCATTTCCTATTAGAAAGTGTTACACTGTGAATGTGTCTACCCAACATTTTTATATTTAAAACATTACCTACCTACAATCTACCTACAATAACATGTGGAGCTTTTGCGTGGTGGTTACCCTTTATAACAGAGACCTGGAGGATTTTTTTTTTGCTCCTTCTTCCATGTAAAGATGCTTAGAAGTCATGATCTGTAAGTCAGGTTTTTTACCATCTGAGGTGGGACCACATCTGTTGATGCCTTAATATTACATTTCTCATCCTCCAGGAGTTAGGGCAATAAATTAAGAAAACTATGATATTTTTGTTTTGGTGGCCTAAATGGACCAAGGCAGAGTTTATTGTTGTGTTTTAATATGAGCCTGATTCTTTTAGAGCAATGGGGGTAAGAGGTTTAGCTTAGTGGCAGAGTACTTCCCTAGCTTATGTGGGCATTGAGTTTGATTACAAACACAGCCATTTATCTAAAATAAACAGTTTTTTTCCTTAAAGTACACACATGAGAACGCCATAATCACATAGCTTTTAAAACCCCTTATGAAATCCAGAGTTGTTAAGGAAGTCTTCATAGGCATTACAGGAATCTAGATTTACTAATCTTTTCTTATGGGAGTTACAATGGGAAGACTTAGAATAAGGGTAATATCTTTGCTCTAAACTCTTCTCTTAACTAAAGAATAACAACCAGCTACAGCCCTCAATACCTACTCATAGAGCAAAGATAAGTAGCAAGAAATTATCAGTGAGCCTGAAAGCAGCCTTTAACCTGAGAAAGGCAAGGCACAATCTAACTTATTGCTGAGAGATATGCATTTGAATAATTGTGACAAGACCCTAAATTTTCATGCTTTGATTTTATTTTATTTTGAGACAGGATCTTATATATAGTCCAAGCTGGCCTTCAACTTGACCTTCTGCTTCTGCCTTTTAAATTGCTGGAATTACCAGCTGACAAATTGATTATTTTCAATATTGTAAGAAATAGCACAGCCGCGCATATTTCTAGGCTAAACCATCTACCTTTGACAAAGATGGCTGAATGATCTCATGGTACCAGAGTAAAAGATAAAGAAATACATACATCTAATCTCAAATTGACAAAGAGAAACAACATCCCATGTTTAGTGGGATCTCTAAACCTACTATGCATTTATATAACTCCTTCTATCTATGTCTCCTTCTGTTATCTATGATCCTTAAGTTTACTCTAACTAGTGAAAAATGCTCAACAAATAACAGTTGGTTAAGATAAAGTAACTAGAGGGACAGAAGTATGTGGTTCCACCCAGTCTTCATCTGGAAGGTGAATCCACTTTGTGTGCCAGGCTGAGACTTCCCTTACTCCTTCAGGAAACATTTCAGTTGTTCCTGAAGGTGATAAATCTGTAAGGAGAGAGAGGCAGAGAAACATTATAAAAGCTGTATGAGGGTTTTTTTTTTTTCTGGTATTCCAAACTATTTTTTTTTAAAAAAAAAATATCCTTCATTACAGTTTCAAAAGTATGGCAAAGCTCCTTCTTTACCACTTCAAAGCAAGTACAAACCCACTTGAAGAATATTTAAAAGGTTAAAAAATAATGTCCATAGACATTTATCTGACTTTTGAGATGTAATGCAATACTCAGGTAGTTTGTTTCAAGATTATTAAGACTGCCTAAGTCATCCACATTTATAGCTTAATTCCTCCACTTCAAACCAAACTAAACATTTAAAAACTGTTACTGACTAGTATTCTTGCCTGGACTCCCAAATATTCAACTTGCAATGGTGCTGAATCCCAGTGGTCCTTGAGTTGGGTCCCCACATGGTCTACTATTATGGTTTAACTCTTTTTTGTAAACATAAATCTAAATGTTCTTTGAATAGAACATATTATTTATACGTGGTTCTGATATTAAAAATCTCTGGTTCATACAAGTTAAACTTTCAATAACAATGTCCCAAATCTGAAAATAGATTAAGAAAGTAAAGGATTCTGGTTAGAGTGACCAGTCCCTAGATACAACTCATAAGCATAGGATTGCAGCTCATCCACAAAAGGTGTTATAGTTTTGGCATGTAGCTAGAATTCAGAAAACTCTCAAAAAAAAAAGTCAACCATAAACTGACATACAAAAAAAAGAAAAAAACAACCTCTCAGCATGACAGAATTGCTCACTATTTCAGATCACAAACCAGAAGAGAACAAGAAACAGGGTATCTACAATCTTAAAATGTATCACTTCATCTAGTATTTATTTATATAGACCAAAAAGCAACTGTTTCTTGGCATTTTAGTGTCACAATGTTCCAAAAATAGACACATCATGGAGAACTCAAGCACAATGCTGTGACCATAATCTCTTTTACTGTGCCAGACTTATAAAGGAAAGCTTAAAATTGAATATGCTCAAAAACTGAATACGTTTGTTGTTAAGAATCTGGGCTTCTATGAAAAATATACAGAGGTCATAGGCTCACAGTAAAAAGACACCAGACAATATCACTGTAGTCAGTTTGTAAGAGTCAGATGATAAAACTGGAATAGTCTTTTCTCAAAATGAACTCACGCTAAGTTTTTTTAATAAAATTTTTGTGATTATAATTACATCATTTACCCCTTCCCTTTCCTCCTTCCAGACCCCTCCCATGTATATCATGTAACACATACACACACAAACACACACACCTAAATATATAAGTGCAAACTGTTCATATATATATTTGTATATATATGCTTTCAGGGCTGACCATTTAGTACAATGGCACAAAGATAATCAAATTAGTTGTTTGTAATTCTATTTTCTAGGGTTGAGACCCTCGAAACTTTGCTAAATGTTTTTGGGGGGAGGTTGGTTTTTTTTTTTTTTTTATGTGTGGGTAGGGGATGCACACAAGCCATGGCAAACGTGGAAGAGAGGACAACGTGCTGGAGTCAGGTCTCTCCTTCTACCATGTAGTCCCTACAGGAGTCAAACGCAGGCTGTCAGGCTCAGTAAGAAGTGCCTTTAAAAGTTGAGCCATCTTGCTTCAAAACTTTTTCTTAGAATACATTAATTTTACATGTGAATGGGTTTCCCTACAGTGTTTTCATAATATACATGATGTATCTGTGAGCTATTTCAAAAATTCACTAGCAATGTCTAGGGCTTAGCCCAGCTATATGACTCAGAAGTTAAAAGTGTTTGTTACACAAGCCTGAAAACTTGAGTTTGAGTTTAGGACCCATATGATGTAGACGGCTCATTCCCACCAGTTGTCCTATGACCTCCAAATACATATGCATGTGCATGCACACACGCACGTGCACACACATACACACACACACGTATTAATAAATTTTTAAAATAAAATCTTAAGCTAGATATGATTCTCTTCCTTCATACTCAGACTTTCAAAAAGCTCTTCATCTACCCTGCTTTCTCACTCAGGATATACTGTTCTTGTGAGACACACAGCCTGAAATTTGATTAGAGGTAGGTGAGTTCTTCATAGCAAAATATTTATTTAAAAATATCCTTCTTACCTGCTCACACTTCTCTTTTTCCATTACAGTAAGCTTCCCCAAAACATTCTGGAAATGTCTCTGAAAAAAAGTATATCAGTGATCAAAGATGTATGTCAAGGTAAGAGAGAACCACAAAACACAGTTTGTCATATATTTAATAAGAAAGCTATTATAGGAAGCACATTCTTTTTAGAAAAATTGGAGCATAAAACTACCTCCCAAATACCATGCAATCCTAAATTATTTTATGTACTCTCTAAAGCATGTTTTCTTGTCCTATAATAAATGGGTGAAATGTCTACAGGCTACATCTTTTCCTAGTGTTGTATACATCTTTTGGCTATGACTTACTAAAGAAGCAAACTTGGAATCTAGTATAGATTCCTCTCCAATTTCTCCTCACTAGAACAGAACATTACTAGTCCTAACACAATATCACATATCTGTAAACCACACATACACTACAATAGTACCAAATACCTGACTCCTTCAACATGTATCCATAGGTATTATCTTTGGCCATTCTAAAGAACTACAGCCAAGATGGGGTTAGCTGTATATCAAGCTGCTTTCCTTTGACAACTACTGCTCTGCACCAAAATGAAATCTAACAAAAGATTCTCTTACTGCTTTAGAATCACCTTACTACCAAGATGGGATCAAATGTAACATACCAATATATTTTCTTTTCTGTGAAACCTTGAAAAATGTATCAAAAAAAATTGTTCCTGTTTTAGCCCACATGATAAAAATTTTAATTAATTTGGTTCTTTTTGCTGAAACAAACATATTTTGGTATAAACAATAGTTTTAGTCTATATATTAACAATTACTGTGATTCTTCTTAAAATTTAATTCTATTTTACCTTACTTTTGGAGGTGGTGGATACAAGGTCTTACTGTGTAGCCCTGGCTAATCTAAAATGAGTTATATAGACCAGGTTGGTCTCAAATTCAGAGATCCACCTGCCTCTGTATCCCAAATACTGGGGATAAAAGACATGCACCACAACACCCAGCTAGTTTGAATTTGTTTTAAAGTGTGAATGATGTCAGTATCTATGTTTCAGAAACCATAATACATAACTGTTATATGCACTGTTTTTACAGTAACTGTTCAATATTGGCCATCATCCCAGGTCACCTGGTCCCACTTCTCCCTAAAATTGCTTCAATTTTAAAAATTACTCAGATAAAATAAAACAGTAATGTTTTAATAGACATTTCTTAGAAGTTGTTTAGGTTCCTGAATAAACTACATAGCAACGGCTTGAGTAAAAACTGAGATGGACCTGTGAAAAGAGGACATTAGGGAGTCTGACAGCAGAAAAGATCTTACCTTGAGGGTCATGTTTTCCACATTCCTAAGGAGCTCCTTCTGTCGCTGGGCTTTTTTATAAATCTGCTGGAGCTTTTTTTCTTTGATAAGAATCAGTTTTTGAATTGCCATGACTGAAAGAAGTAGAGAGAGTAGTTTTATATATAAATATAACTTTAAATAATGCATCAAGTCCAAGTCCAAGGACCTTAAAACTAAACATTGCACATAATGCATGTCCCAAGTTAGCATATTATAATTGTGCCACCCACTTAGCATATTATAATTGTGCACCCACCCTATCCAGTTCCTTTGTCTTTTCCTCTGACTTACTTATTGAACTGTAATCTTGGTCCTTTTCATGGAGGCTAGACTGAATAAATTTGGCTTGCAGCTCCTTCTCTAACTCCTCTTCAGAATTGTCTGTTTCCTCCTCCTCTTCTTCATTTCCATCGTCATCATCATCTTCATCATCATCGTCATCTTGATCATCATCATCATCCTCAACTTTAGTACTCTTATCTTCCACATCATTACTGTTGCTGCCAGAATCACCCATCATCTCCCGAAGCACATCATATTCTATTGATTTTAAGCAAGGGAAAATTGAACTGACCTGACACTTTGCAAATGACCATAACATTATCATCAAATTCACTGGGCAACCAGTGAATTTTATAAATTGTGTTCCTATGGAAAGATCATTCCCTTTGTGAAATAAATTGTGTTCCTATGGAAAGATCATTCCCTTTGTGAAATAAGGACAAGGGATCTGAGACTAGAGACCTAAGGGCTCATAGGAAATTGAATACCAGGGCATACAGAAGGTTAGAATTCCAACCTAAAACCCTAAAAGCCCAGGAGGACCAATAAGGATGAAGAACAAAGGCATCTTTTGTGATTGGATCTTTTTACACAGTTAACACTTGCCCCATATGAAGCACCTCCTATGTTTTCAACAATTTACCTGATAAACTAGCACCACCCATCTGTGGGATTCCTGAAATGGTTGGGATGCACCCTTGACTTTCTATTTCCAGAGTATCATCATCAGCAACAACTTCCCAGCCTGCGAGGATAGCAGTGAAGGAAAAAGCAGAGGGGAGAGAGAGAACACACAGTAGAAAGGGAAATGCTCTTCAACTAAAAGTGCTCTTAATATTTACTTTAGGCCAAATTTGGATCACTTTAGCTGCATTCCTAATGTGGAGAGCTGCCTCATATTAAATTACACACATAAACAAACTTCGGTGGTCTGCATTTACCATTTAAAATCACATTTCAAAAATCTTAAGTTATGCACATCAAAACTGGTGCTCAAACTCATGAAGTGAGGACTACTCGTGCTGCTTAGTGGAACAGGGCTTACCTGGCATGCATAATAAGGCTCTAAATTTGATCCCCAGGATCACAAACAAAAGCAAAAACACCAACCAGAGGTGTGATTAGTCACTGCTGTAAAGGATACGGACACTGATGGCTTCAGCATCTGAGAAGAGCAGTCTCTTCACTTCTTTTTCCACACTTGGAGATTGAGTGTACTGAAGCAGAGTGAAGGAGAAAATACCAGCAACGTCATTAGCACACTGTGTTATGTAAATACCCTTTTCCTATACATTAATGAATTAAAATGATTGGGCCTTGGGAGATGCTTATCCAATTCAAATCCTACTTAAATAGTGCTAGTTAACAAGGACTCTACTTTTAAAAATCTGGTTTTTGTAGAGTAAGTTCATTTTTCACAATTAAATCACTTGAGATGTTTAATCTTCTCTTTTTACAACTCTGTGGGAAAGATTTCTACCACTTATGTTTTATTATTTACCTTGACTAATACAAAAGAGCAATAATTCAATTTTAGTTACTGATAAATGATGTGATTTAAAATCCAAACTCCCAGACTTCTTTGTCCCATCTTTATTATTAAAATGTTCCTACAAAAACTAGATCCTATCTAAATGTTCTCCCTTGAATACAATTTTAAGCGATTACTCTATAGCAATTAATTCAGCATGACACAAATATAAAACAAGACTTTTGATGACATATCCCATTAGTTCAACCAATTCTTGGTCAGTTGAATCCTGAACTCCAAGGAATAGCTTTTGAAATAAAAATACAGCTGAAAAAGCAGTCTGGATTCATGGTATCACTAGCAAAATTGTTTCTCTTTTCACCTAAAAGTTACTATTGAACATTAAATTATTACTCAATGAATAAAATCTAGCAAATATACATGTATGTTTATCATATTCAAGTAAACAACGAAGATTATGACCAATGCTGTACCTCGCTAAAGTTGATTTCCTCCATTTGTTTGACATCTGGGATCTATGTAGTAAAGCAAAACAAGGAACAATGTTATATTCTGATTGTTCTGTTTAAGTCAAGCTTAAAACACTGTACAAGTATATTTAACTACTTTATTTAGTAGACAATAAATTTCATTCACTGACAGGTTATTAAGCCAAAGTTAACACATAAATTAGAAAAGTTGATCTATAAATTTAACACACTTTCTTTCAGAATTCTAGCAAGGTTTTCTATCTACAAGTTTATTCTAAAATTCGTATGGAAGGATACAGATTCTAAAGTGTTTAAAACAATATTGAAGCAAAATGAAGTGATAGTAATCAACCTTCCAATTTCAAGACTTAACACATTACAGTATCCGTGGAGAGATCTGATGCATGGATCAGTGGAAAAGAATAAGGAACCCATAAGCAATATCATACATATATTCCCAAGGAGGAGTGGAAGAGGAGAGGGATAGGATAGAGGAAGAAGAACAGGAGAAGGAGAATCTTGAATTAAAACTCATGCTTTTCTAAAACTGAAATATGGATTGTAGGCATAAATATAAAATGTAAAACTTTTGAAAAATGAATGAGAAAATCTTCAGTATCTAGGATAAACAAAGACTCCTTAGATTTAACAACAAAAAAAAAAGGCAGGATACCTAAAATAAAAACATCAATAAACTAAGTCTCCTCTAAACTAAAAATCTTGCTGTATAAAAGATCTTGTGAAGAGAATTAAAATCTCAAACTGTCAACTGAGGGTATTAATAAACTATGCATACATAATGAAAATACCACAATAAAATTACCACACAGTTATCAGAACAACTAGAATAAAATAAAATAATGACAAGACCTAATGCAGGTAGAGAAGTTGGAGAATTTGGACCACTCATATATTACTGGCAGGAATATATAACGATATTTCCTCTGAAAACAATATGGCAGTTTCCCATAAAACTAAAACTGTGTGTGGCTAGTGAAACAAGTGGCTCAGCATTAAGATGCTTGCTATCGATGATAACCTGAGATTGATACTTAGAATGAATTCTCCTAAGTTGTTCTGTGACCCCCATTTGTCTCTCTCTCTCTCTCTCTCTCTCTCTCTCTCTCTCTCTCTCTCTCTATCTATCTCTATCTCTATCTCTATCTCTATCTCTATCTCTATCTCTATCTCTCTCACACACACTCTGAATGAATGTAAGTAAAGTTTAAAAGCTAATGATTGGCAAGAGACATGCATCAGCCGGTAAGGGACTTGGTTAATATCCAACTCTAGGATTAATCCTTAATAACAAGTAAAACAAGGTGGAGTGGTCTATGCTTGTAATCCCAGCACTTGAGAGGTGTAGGGGAAGCTAAAGTCTCTGTGACCACACAGCAAGTTCAAAACCAGCCTGAACTACATGAGAAAGATCCTGTCTCAAACACTCCACTTGGAGGTTTGTTTAAAAAAAAAAAAACACCTCTATAGAGATGGGTCAGTAGAGCGGTTAAGGGGACTTGTTGCTCTTACAAAGGACCTGGGTTAAATACCCAGCAACCATTTATGGTGGCTCACAATCACCTTTAACTCAAGTTCCAGGACATCCAACAGTCACGCATGTGGTGCAGGCAAAGTATTTGTATGCATTAAGTAAAATGAATGAAAATCTAAAAAATATTTTAAAATATAATTTAACAGTATTCCTGGGCATTTATCTTAGAGAAATTAAGATTTATGTTCCAGACAAGGTTTATCTCTGAAACAGTCCTGGCTGTCCTGCAACTCTCTTTGTAGACAACGCTGGCCTTGAACTCAGAAATTTGCCTGCCCCTGCCTCCAGAGTGCTGGGAACCAACATGCCTGGCTTTAAATCTGTAAGACTTTAAACTGAAAGCATGAGCTGAAATGTCAAGTTCATAACTCTTGTAAACCCCTAACAATGAGTCTGTAACCCCAAAGAACTGGGTCTGTTGTTATTCCCTGCTGTTGTCCCAACTGCTAGCTCATAATGCTGTGGATTTTGCATATTTTTAAATTGTTTACATTTTTGAGACAGGGTCTCATTCTATAGCCAAGGATTGTCTTAAACTCACAATCCTCCTCCTTTAGCCTCCCAAGTGCTGAGATTACAGATAGGTACCACCACATCTTCGAGGAATTGTTTATTGAACATATAACTGAATTAGTGAATTCCCAACTGATTTTCTTCCTTTCTTTCCCCTCTCACAGTCCTCTAATCTACCCCGCAGAACCGTAAATGGCATGAAACTAACCTTTTTTGTTGTTTTCCGGAATCTTTTCTTCCTGACATTCTTAAGTGGTGGAGTAACTAAAATAAAAACATGATGAAACATACTATATAACTGAAGACTGTCCTATATGTACACAAATTCAGTAAAGAACTATGTCGTGCTTGTGGAATGACTTCTTTCTTTAAAACTGAGAGGTTAATGAACCAATTAAGAGGTCCCTGGCTCATAGGGACTTGCAATGCAAGAAGTCAATGTAGTCAACCAGAATGAGCAATGGACTGGTGGTGACTTACTGCCGTGCTTCCAATTATACTTTTTTTTGTCTGCCTTCACATCAATATTTCCAATTACAGTAGGACCAGTAGAGACCACTGGCTCTTCAGGAGAAGAAGGAGGCTCACCTTCAGGACTGCATACAAGCATCTACATTGAGCAAAGATAAAGATTTGATTATTGCCCAAATGTTGGTTAGTAATAAATCATGATCATACCACCATAAATCTGGAGCACAGAAGATTCCTAGCATTTCCCAAAGCCAAGTACTATGTAATACACATTCAGATTCTCTTTAATATATCCCCTTTCCATCCTCTCCTCCTTCCCACTCCACCTTCTCTCTTTCCCTTCAGCATGATATATAGATTCAACTTTTACCTAGTGTTTACCACTGCAGAAGGCATAGTATGAAATGCATACATTTTAGCATTTTGGTTTAGAGAGAAAATTAGAAAGCACCAGCAGAGATGATAAGAACCGATTTTTCTTCAGAGTTAACATACTGCTCTAGTAGAAAGTGCAGAAAAAGACCTTAGCCATTCCTATTTTAAAATTAATGAATCATTATAAATGGCAAATAGGGAGCAGGAGTCTGTAAAAGAAATGAAAAGTAAGTAACAGATAGCAAGCCAGAGCATTTACCATGTAGTAGTAATAGTGGCACATAGACACAAGACTTCCTTAAAAGCTGTAAGAACTAGAAGATTAAGAAAATCAACCCAGTGGTGGCAATAGAGCTTAATGGCAGGTAGAGCTCTTGCCTAGCATGCATGAGCACTAAAAAGCAGAGCAAAACAAGATTCTGTGGATCTCAGGGAACAAAGCCCTAGGTTTGATCCTCAGTACAACCTAAGAATGCAGAAAGGCATCCATGTAAGCCTAGCATTTGGTAGTTGAAGACAAAATGATCGGAAGTTTAAAGTCATACTCAAAACTACATACTGAGTTTAAGGCTAACCTGGGATATATGAGACCATATCGCAAAAAATCATACCTGAGAAATATCCGCCATCTTATAAAATGTTTTTCTATCAATAGTTTTCAGGCTTCCGATAACACAAGGCAAATTAACCAGCTTAGCAGGCAGAGAAACATCTTCTACTTGCACAACTGCATGGTGTCCATCAGCTAAAGGAAAGGAGAGAAAATGCTGACATCTCAGTGGACTCTTTGATCTCCAAGTATTTGAATAATGAAGACTTATGTGAGTCAGGCAATTTCTTTCATAAAACTTACTATTTCTTTAAAGGCTACAAATCAATATTCAGTTAGTAACTTCTAGAAAAAGAGAGTATCTGTAGCTTGTTTTTCCATATTGTATGTTACTAGTTAAAAAGTAAATTCCTTTCTAATAGTAGCAAAGGTGAGAAAGACAGCAACTGTTTTCTTGTCATCACCAAAAGAAAAGTTCATTCATTTAAATACATTCCTTAAAAAAAAAGCTCTGTCTAGCCTCAATAGGAAAAGATGCACCTAGTCCTATTGCAACTTGATATGTCAAGGTGGGCTGATATCTATAGGAGACCTCCCCTTCTCTGAAGAGAAAAAGAGGAGAGGATGGGGTGGGGGAGGGGGAGGTGAGAGAAAGGGACTGGGAGGAGAGGAGAGAAAGGAAGTTGTAATATGGATGTAAAGTAAATAATGTTTTAAAAAGCTTTCACTTTTAACATTGGATTTGTATGTTGTCTAAATGTTGGAAAGATAGCATACTCTACTCTTTTTCAGAACTCTAATACCTAGTACAATGTCTGGCATATAGCAATCTGTAGCAAATTATTATTTAATATATTGTGAATTAATATTAACTACTTACAAGAAAAGTCAATTTTTAGTTTATCCTTTGAGGCAACATTTCTAGAATGTATAATTTTCCTGACAGCATAAGCTTGTTCCTAAAAGAGAGGCAAATTAAAAATCAGAAAGATTGTCTAAGTGATAGCTAATAGAATAGACATTTCAAGGCAAGTCTTCCCTTAAATAAAACCTTACGTTTTCCAAATATTAATTATGCTATGTACCATGAAAGAACATGCATTGTATAAGTCAAGCTAGATGCAGTCAATTCAAATTTAACATTATCTTTTAGGAACTACAGTTGGTGCTTTCTCCCAGCTTTTCAGTTCTACTTCTTACTGCTATCCTTCCATTAGAAAGGCTTAGCTACGGTTTACTAGCTGTATTAATTAGCTGTAATTGGATAATAGCTTCCTAACCATCTCTATCATAGCCTCATAAATGAAATAATACAGGAACATGGCTATCAATGGGAAAAGAGACTCAAGTATAATATTGAAATGAGTTTGATAACCTTGCTTAGTGATGAATTTGCAGGTTACCTAGTGGTAATCCCTCCAACCACCTCTTCTGAGATGACAGAGTTTTAGAACAGTCTTACCTTGGCTGTGCAGAAAATTGGTTGTTAATGTTTATAGTAAGTGACTGGATGATCCATAATTGTCATAGTTGTTTTGACAAGGAATTAACCCACATGATTGATGGTATATACAGGAAGAAAGAAATATTGTGAGAATATGCACTATAATAGGACTGCTTGATAGAATATGAATTATGGGAAGCAAATGTTCTGATCTTTTATAGCCTGAAAAACAAATGTTATCTATGCAGAACTACACTTTTCACTGAAGATATGTATTCTAAGATATAAAAGTTACTTACTGGAGGCAGACGCAGTATAAACTGTTCTTCAAGTTCATGAGATTCATCATGCCTTAAGCTCATGGCTTGTTTTTGAGTTCATAAAAAAAAAAACACAAAGAAAACAAACAGGTCATTAAAAACTCTTGCTCACTCTGTTGATCATCTCTGGTAGTGCTGAAAATACTATGTAAGAACTTGCCCATAATTCTCATTGAAAAAAATGTGCACATACTTTAGTAATACTTTACTTGGCATCTTGACTTCTAAAAGTCATCATTTCTAAAGTCAATCTAAATTACACGATGTTATTTGATTAACAAGTAACTAAGCTATTGTGAAACGACTTTTAAATAAAATAGTAAATTTCAACAAACTAAATAGCCTCTGTGGGGCTGAATGCAAACTGAAGCACGAAATTAACCCAGAACCTGTATGTAGATACACTGATTTGAAGTGAACAAAGATTTAATTTTCAATATTTAAGTCACCCAAATAGACCAACAGTAGTAAGTAGGCAGACCATGGGATAGCAAGAAGCTTTTTTATGGCTCAACTGCAATGGCTCAGCACTCCCTTGAGAGAAAGGAGTCCCATCCTTACATCCAGACCATGTACACTAGCTTCATGGAATAAATTCCTTGAAAGAGTAGTATGAGTAGAACCTAAAATCTGATTTTATTTATTCATTATTACCACTTACTGTTATGCAAAAAAAATCACAAAAGTACATCTGTAGGGAAAGGAAGGAAGGATCTTGGAATTGTTAGGAAAGGTATATGAATATGATCAAAATATTTATGCTGAATACTTAATAAAAATATTTTAAAAAGCAATCCCTTAGTATATTTTTAGAAGTTATTAGAAAGTACAAAAACTGTAGGGATAAAATAAGACACCCAGGAAGGGGCTAGAGACTGCATTATTTTTGATAGTTATTTCTGTTTTTATTGTTTATATATATGCATATATATAAACAATGAAAAACAAACTCCAGCCTCGAAGCCTCTAGGCCATGTGCACAGCCACTAGGCTGCGTGTGTGTGCAGGCCTGTGCCTGAAGGTATGTGTGCACAGCTAGCTCAAGAGCTCCCCTGCTGATACATATATGAAAATGTCAACGAAACACCTTTGAACAATTAATACATACTTGGGCAAAATTTAAAAGTAAAAAGTAAATCAAATAACCCTTGGAGCTGGATATACCACTTAACCAAAGAAAACAGAAAAATCCTTAAGCCGGGGAATACAAACACAGAATGTAAAGAAAGAGCTGCTAAGCAAGATTTTATCAGATCAGTCCTATCTTTTAGACTTCGAAGCCAAACTAAGATTAGGGCTTTTCAGCTCATCTTAATGCCTTTTTGGCAACTCCTCTTTTACAGAATAAAAACTTTAGGAACTCAAACGATTTTAAAATATCTCCCAGTAAAAAGGTTTAAAGGGAGGTAAGGGGGGAAAGCTCGCTGAGAAGAGTTTTAATATTTTTTAAAAAAACGGAAAGAACTACATGGTAAAGAAAATGAATCCAGTGCCCCCCCCCCAGAAATATTCATTTTTCTTAATTTGTTTTTGAAATTCCATGAGGAACTCTTGGATGCCTAATTAAATGTACAGAACCGCTGTCCACCGCTCACATCTGGCTTATCTCCCTTCCGCGGGACAATTGGAATGGTTAGCCAGAGAGCCCAAAAGCCCTTGCTCAGGCAACACAAACTTGGTCTCGCATTTTTTTTTTTAAGCGCACAACCATGCGCTGCCCTTTGGAGACTGCCCGGTCCCGTCTTTTTTTTTTCTGTGGAGACCCAACGGAAAAGTTCTGTTCCTCCCGCTGAAAATATAACCCCGCAAAGCCACGGGAGCCTTCACATCTCCCGGTCAGTGGACCTGGCTGAGGCAAGATGCTGCGGAGATCCCTTCCCAGATTCCCGGGAGCCTGGTGGACCTCCGACTCACCTGCTGCCGCTGGCCGGGACTCTCGCTTGGACATCTCTGCTGGCTGAGATCCTAACTCAGGGAGCTGGAATCACCGAGAGAGGTCGGAGCCCCGCAGAGAGTCCGGCTTTACAGGTAGTGGACGCCCAGGCCCCGCCCCTCGGCCCGCCCCCACCCCCGAGGCCGCCAGTCAATCAGAAGGCTCCGGCCTCGAAGCCTCCGGGCCACGTGTGTAGCCTCAAGGCTAGGAGCTGGCTTGCCTAAGCCTGGGGGCGTGCGGGCGTGCGGGCGGGCGGGCGTGCCTGCGTGCGTGCGCAGCCAGCACACGAGCTCCCCTGGACAGCCCACGGGGCGTCCTCAAACCCCAGCCACGGGCGCCGGGAGCGGGGCGGGGCGGGACCTGAGTCCACCTGAGGGACTTGGGGCGGGCGCCGACTCGCAGAAAAAAAGATGGCACAGCACATGCTCAATCCTCCCGTCTGAGGACCTGTCGCTAGGCGATAAACACTACACGCCCCAAGCCCCAAACTGACCAGCCATTGCCGAGCCTCCTCAGCAAGGCCCAGCGACCATTAACAGGCCAGGCTTTCCAGCACCTTCCCTGCAGCGGCCGCGCCTCAGACGACCTTTTGACCTCTCGAGGCTCACGAGTTCCTCCATCTGTTGGGGAACCAACGTGCCACCCCGCCAAGACCCAAAACATCCACCAGCGAGGCTGCGGGGGGGGGG